TTTCCGCTTTTGGTCTCCCGGGCGGCTTCTTACCGTTCCGCCAGTTTTGTTTGCAAAAATTTCGCCCCCTTGGCCAAATCAGAAAACCCGCGACGCCCTTTGGCAGTTTCTTTTGCTTTCCAACTGCCGAAGACGGGAAGGGAGGCAACTACAAACCAGGGCCCCCGCCGCAACATTTTTCCGCTTTTGGTCTCCCGGGCGGTTTCTTACCGCTCCGCCAGTTTTGTTTGCAAAAATTCCATCCCCTTGGCCGAAGCCGCGTCGCCAGCAAATGCTAGGAGTCCCCGCTTGGGGCGGCGGTGCTGTTCCTTGAACCCGGAAGACATTTTCATCCTGATATGCATACTTCGCATCTAATGCAATTTAAAATCAAAATAGAAGTCAGGGAAGGTGGTCATAGTTCGCATATAATCTCGCATGATGCTCGTTATCGTGCTCCAGTGGTTGGGCGGTGGGCGCGGACTCGAATTTCCTCGGGCGCGAGTCGTTGTCACCAACCCGCCCCCTGCTGGTGGTCAGCGGGATTCCGGAGTCCGAAGACGCAGGATCGCCCTCGGCGATAGAAGTAGGCGCAGGAGAGAAGACAGCGCCGGCAGTGGGGGAAGGCGCCTCGGAAGGTGGAGAAGCAGGATCGAGGCGGGGACCCGGCGCTGATGTGTCGTCGTTTTTTTCCCGGAGGATTTTTGCTTGGTGCAACCTGCGAACGGACTCGACTCCGCCCTGATCAACAAACGCTCTGAGCGCGTCCGTGACCGCTCGGCGCGGAACAGACCGGTCCGTGTAGTCACGGCCCGGTCTGATCTTGTAGACCCGTTTTTTCTCCTTTCCCTTGACTTTTGCAGCTTCGTTGTGCTCCTCCACTACCGGCGATCGCGACGAAGATTGCTCAGCGTCGGTGGAGGTATGTGTGGTCTTCTGCCTATCCGCTGCGAATCTACTGCCTGTTGCGCCCTGGGGTTCTTCGGTCTTGCCAGTCGTAAGGGATGATGTGTTTTTGTTCCGGAGGATTTTCCTCGCGTCTTCGGTTCGGTCAACCGCCTCCTCGCCCTTGGTGTTGGCGCCTTTGCGGGATGCACATCGTGAGGAAAAATCCCGCCTCCCCATACTCAAAATGGAATCTTTGTGACACTTGTTTGCGGCCACAGATCATCAGCGTTGGCTTGTGGATAGGGGGAATGGCAGCTGCCACGACGTGGCGCATTCCACCGCCAATCTTTCAACATGCGATTTCAACTGCTGTAATCCTGTATACCTATGCCGAATTGCTAGCCTTCTGCATGCCCAACCAGGCTAAGTATGTGTGTACAGATGTCCTCCAGCAACAGATATGGGGCGGAGGTATTTTGCACTGCGGTAATGTAGACGTCCGCACCTTCTCGGCCACGGCAGCTGCGGCTTCTTCTTCCGGTAGCTGCGGCTTCTTCTTCGCCCATGGTAGCTGCGGTAATTTTTCGGACGCGAAAACAACCTCCTTCTCTGTGGGGGTTGTGGCCGCGTCCGCGGCTGCAGAAATCGTGCCTCCTGTCTGTCCCGATGTTGCCACACCTGAAGCGAGATTATGTATAAGGAGAATGAGAGATGCAACACAAAGGAAATATAAAGAAATCTGCTTTACATGAAATGAGACTTGTACCCGAGAGTAGTAGCAATACGCTCGACCTATTACTTAATAGCCACCCATCCAAATTCAAGAAGGTACGGCAAGATCAAGATGCGCATGACAAAACCGAAGAGTAGCTACGTACCTTCAGAGCACTCTCCACCTCCGGTGATCGGCGCAGTGCAGCCGGATTCTTCATCTACGCCGGCGAAAAGCGCTAGACTGCCGTTACCGGCAGAAAAGACCCACCGGTACACAATCCCAAGCGATACCCCGAGGTACAGACCCACGGTGATGACAAAAAGCGCCGACCAGGTCAAGGAGTTCCACTTCGGTTTTGGGTCTTTGCATTTCACGCCACAGCTTTTGTGCATTGCAAATGTGTCTGGGTCTGGAAGAGTGCTGCAACTGGTGACGCTGCCTTTGGAATGTGAGAATATACTTGAAATCTGTATTGCATGAATAGCAAAAGCGGTCCAATTTTAGCTCTAATGCGGAAGAAAGTCATCGCAAAATCTGTACTATTACGGCATACATCAGAGACATTTTTGGCTATGCAAAATGTGCATGACAAAGATGGCACCCTTCCAGACCCAGACATATTAGCAGTGGATAGCTTTTCTTGTAGAGCAATTTCGGAATCCGGAAAAACAGGTTGGTGCTCTGCAGTTCCTCCTCGTTCGCCTGTTGCTCCAGTTTTTCCTTGCGTTTCCGTTCCCTCTCGTACCACTTCTTCCACTTATCTTTCCCGCGCTTCCACTGCGGATTTTTCCTGCCGTTTGGGAAAAACTTCGGCGGATTTGGGGGTTCCGGATCATCCACTGCTTCGTTACTTTTGTTCACTGCTCCCGGTACCGCTTTTTTCTCGGAGAAGCGGAAGGGCTCGTCGAGGTAGCAACAAAACCATCCGAACTCCTTGGCGAAGACGTGCAAGTAGTGGGCGTAGCCGACCAGGTGCTTACGATTATGGCAGCGGAACGGAGAGTCAACGCGAGTTTTTTGTGTTGCGCCTCGCGAAGTGAAAGGGAGTTTGTTTCTACTAGAAGACGAGGCGCATTCATGATCATGAAATTTTCATCTCGTATAGATTTTATTGCTCCGTACATTTGCACCAGACAACTGGCTGGTAAATCAATAGCACTTGAGTAGCAGCCTGAAAGATCTAGCTACAAATGCACGGCACACGATCAAGACGAGCTATGCTAACTAGAAAGAACTGAGAGACTAACAACACAAAAAAAAGCGGCCCGACTCGAAGATTGTGCAGCATAGCCCTCCTCATCGTCTTCGACCTGGTTTTCCGCCTCGTTTTGCTGCTCGTGGTTGGCTTGCTATCAAATGCAAATATGTTTGTGTCTGGAAGGATGCAAGGTTTGTCATGCTTGTCTGGCACGACTGAAGAGTTTGCGACGCGTGCCCAAGAAGAGATCCTTTTACTTGTCATGCAGAATCAGAAACACAGTTTGTCATGCGGAAAGCGCAATACTAGGGGTAGGGACCGCAGATGCTTCTCATCCTTGGGTGTGCATTACAGAACATACAAATATTCACAACCCAGCAATACAAGTATCCAGACCCAGACATATTTGCAGTTCATACTTCCTCGTCGTTGTCGATCTCGTCCACGTCCTCGTCTATCCTATGTAAAAACATCCCCGCACCAGAGTCAAGATGGGTAATCTGCTAGACAAATCAACCAGCTTTGGTTGTTTTGCATGACAAATTTGGACCCCGTAGTGTAATCCTTTTTAGCTAGCTCCAGCAGCATCACAATATCTTCATGCTGATTTTAGCATCACAAATTCCAAAACGGGATTAGAAAATGGCTCTCAAGGGGCTCCGCATGAAAAACTTTTTTGGCATGCAGATTTGCATGACAAATCTGGGGTGGGGACGTTTTTTACTCAGGATATCGTCCTCCTCGTCTTCTTCCTCGTCGTCGCTAGCGTTGTCATCCTCGTCCCCGTGTTATGCGTTGCAAATGGGTCCGGGTCTGGAAGGATGGAACGAAGTTGTCATGCGAATTGTGGAGGGCACAAAAAGAAAAATTTGTGTTGCGTGAGCACCAATAGTTGCCAGTTTCTTGCGAAGCAAAGATCCAACTTCTCATGCGGTCATAGGCATTGGACATGCGCAAGACCTGTATTGCTTTTGTATTTGTCTGCATTCCAGGTCTTCAAATATGTGGAATGGATGTGGTGCAGAAGATACATGACAAATAACATAGTCGCATATTTCCAGAAGACAGACATATTTGCAGTTGATACCTCCTCTTCTTCGGCGTTGTCATCCTCCTCCACAATGTCGAACTCATCAGCGTATGGAATGCAAATATGTCTGGGTCTGGAAGCTTCGGAGACTTGTCATGCACGTTCTGCATGAGCCGTTGCTGTGATGTTTGTGATGCATGCGCATGCCCTAGCATCACAGTTTTTTTCAGGGCTTCTTTATGCCTATTCCGCATGACGCATGTTGCCCTTTCCGCGGTGCAAATATTAAGTACACTCCTTTCACTGCTCACGCAAAAATGCAGATTTCAATCTTTTTGGAATCGAAATGCAGCATCACAAGTTGCCTTCTTCCAGAACCAGACATATTTGCACCCAATACAGCGTCGCCATTTAGTTGTAGGTTGTCGTTCCCGGCCGCGTGGTGCATCTTGTATTTCATCGCCTTCATCGACGGCTATCATGCGAAAATTGCGCGTTTTGCTTTGCTCATAAAGGTAAAAATGCCACCGGTCGTAAGGGGAGAACATGCAAAGCAGTTCTCGCGCAAAATGCAACTATTGCAAACTCGATGTATTGCAGATGAAGTCAAGTTATGAACTGGCGTAAGCAAGCCCTTTCTTAATACTATTGCCGTCCCCCCTCTGGTATTTTTTTTTCTTTTTTACCTTTATCACCAAGCCTTCCACGTTTCAAGAGCTGCAAGATCAGAATAATAGTAAACCAAAATAGTTGCCGCGGGTCCTGTTGTCATGCTGATTCGAATCACTTGTAGCTCCTTCATATAGTGGTGGAGTGACAAATTCGGAAAAGCATTTTTTGCGCAGTCTTCATCATGGATAGCATGGCCACCACTTTCTTCCCCTTGCTTTTGGCGCTGCCACTTACACCAATCGCCTTCATCAGCACCTTGGAGCCCACAACTACTAGTTTTTTCATCGCTACTTTCACTGCTGCAACCGGGCCCGCCGCCGCGTTCTTCTTATTTGCCGATGCTTTTCCTGTAGACGAGACTGCCGTGGCCTTTTTCATGGCTAGGAGAGAGGACGCTGGGGCAGATGCTGAGGAGGACTTTTTCATTGCAGTTGAGGCCGAAATTCTTTTTGCGACAGCCCCGTTGCCACCCCGGCTTTGCGACCCGTTCTTTTTTGGCGCCATGTTACCGGATTGATCTGTCTTACAGGTTCTGCGGGGACGAGAGGGAGAATCCGTGTTGCTACTGCTAGGCACCACAGCACGATGGCCGCTCAGGAACAGTCGCTGACGTTAGCACGGTAAGCAGCCGCAAGCAGCCACGCTACGACCTACTTGCAGGCCCTCGGTATTGTAGATCTACTTTATCAACTCGGCACTGGATGCTTCTTCAACGTCTAGAAATTACTGAGTAGTACGATACTGACTTCAAAGAAACGAAGTGGAAGCTTCCATAAATATTTACCGTACCGCTAACGCTAGGTGGAGGTTGGTCACAATGCGGTAGTTACTGAGAGATGAATATGACTCGTTCCCAGTCAAGAATAACTGGAATGCTGCATCAAGCTCAACCTCCTCAACCTCACCGGAGATGCTAAGTAAGTAATAGCCTTAAACTTAGGGGTACTACTTGTGGGCCATTACCAGCTCCGTCCTCGGGGGAAAGTTAAATTCTTCATTCTATTGTTTTTTCCTTCGGTGATAAAGACCCCTAGGGGAATGGCTGCTCACAAAGTGCTGTAAAAATGCTATACTTTCTTAAACTCACAGCCTTATGATGAAGAAGAAGTGAATACAATTTAGTAGTCCTCCAAAATGTCGCATCTTGACAATCCATACTGAGGGTAGCAACGGACCTCTCTTAGCTTTGCGCAAAAAAACTGACTTGTGCTGTCTCTCCGTATCTGTACTTTGCAACCGTGCACAAAACAATGCATCTCCCTCAATGAGCCCACTTCAGACACTTCCCCATTACGGCAAAGGAGTTCTTATCTAGAGCGCACGCAGTCTGTTCAGCGTACAAGTCAGCCGACGTTGCGACAGAGAAAAAACTCAATTAAACCTATGCCTTGACAGAAAAGGTATAACCGACGAAGCTGACTGAGAGGCAATGACACCAACAAGAAGAGAACCAGCAATACTTACGCTCCTAAAGATGTTGCGTGCAAGATAAACGAGAAAAAACACAAAGCACCGACAACTCGTCATCGTGATTCAGATAGACAGAGAATGATATCACAAATAGTATCCCAAAAAAGCGTTACCGACAAGCTAGCAGGAATGCTTTTCCGACTTCTGTATTGCGTGAACATAAACGGGAGGAAAAAACGCGAGCTGGGGCCGGCCACACTAGTACTCAAAGAAGCAACTGCCGGCAACCCCGCGGTCGAATCGATTTTGCATTAAAGTATAATTCCAGTTGGACGCTTCGGCTTTTTGCGTTTTGCGGAGGTTTAATAGAAGAAGATACAACATTGGTCGTGCGAGGTTTCTTTGCATAAAAACAACACAGTAGTCGTGAACGCTTATGATAAAAGAATGATTGATAGTGAATGAAATACGTAGAACTAGAATCGATTGCATGTAAAAAAAAGAACTCAGCATGTAGGACATTGTCGTTTTGAAAAAGACTATCGGGCCAAAAATGGGACCTTGTATGTCCTGCACCCTGCATGCATGATGCGTGAAGTAGGTTTATTTTTTTTGCGGAAAACTGTGTACTATTTCGATGTCTGATGCCTAGGCCGAGGCATTGACGGTCAGGGATGAAGTTTTGAAATTGCCCCTCTTGCCGAACCGACAGTAGCCGCTAACGACAAAAAACGTCCATCCTCGATCGGATTCCTGTGCACTACGACCGCATCTGCGAGAGGTTGCTGCGTTCTGGCTGTTGGCGTCGTAGCTAATGGGTTTGGTCTGTCAGCCGCAGCCCATGGAGTCCACCACACTTACCGCCCCATGAGATGTAGAAGAAGAATTGGTCCCTGGGATGTTGTGCAGGCGTCGAAGAAGAAGACGACGACTGGCGGCAGCGTGCACGACGGTAGGCGGGACAGTGTCTAGGACGATCTATCAGTTGGCAGCTTTCTGCGTACTGAAGTGAAGTAATCATGGGCGGCAGCAAGCTCGGCCGTCACACGACCAGACTACTTACGCGACGACCTCGTTATCAGTCGACGCACCGACAGATTTCTGGACCCGCCCCGTCTCCGTTTGCTTCTGCGATTCATCACCCATGCTGAGCTCGGAGTCGCGCTTCTCCTTGTTCTTCTTGAACCGGGCGGGGGCAAGCTGATCTCGCAGCAGGTTCGCACCATCTTCGGGAAAATCGGACGGCGAGTGCTCCTCGCCTTTGATTTCGTCTTTTTCCACTATACTGCTCGTTTCGTTCGATTTGATCAGGTAGTTGCCAATCCATTCGTACATCGCGTGAGCCGTTTCGATGTTCCGCACTCTCGGCGCCAGGGTATTGTTGATTTCGTTCAGGTCCTGGCCCAGTTTCTCGATTTCCTGCTTGGACTCATATCGCAAATTGCCTTCGGCTTCTTTCAGTGTGCGAAATTCGTCCCAGAGATTATTCAACGCCGCCTTGATTTCGCACAAGGGCACGATGCGCGGTAGGGGCGTGAAGAGGACCGAGGGGCGTCGTGCGTGATAGGCGATGTTGTTGCGTGCCATGAAGTTCTGCACGCACTTCTCCTCCGCGACGTCGTAGGCCAGGGGAGTCGAAGTGGAAATTTTATTGGACGCAGTAGAAGTGGAGATCTTGTTTTCGTCGTTAAATTCGGACTGCGGTTTGATCTCCACTGCAGAAGATGTTGACGCAGCTCCCATCCCGACAACGCCGTCGCCCGCCCCCGAGTCTGTCGGGATGAGGTGTGAAAGATGCCACCACGCCTGGGGCTCTTTCTCACTTTTGATCTTGTTCTTCGCGACGTCGTAAAACCCCGTATCGTTTCCGTTCCAAAACTGCATCCACGTCGCCCGGTCCTGGATGTGCACCATCGTGCTTGTTCTTTTCCTCACTTCCAGCGGGGTCCGTTCAAAGACCTTGCGGCCAACAAAACTCAGCGTCTCATTTACCTGAGAATTATGTCGGTCTCAACATGGTTCAGTTTATTCAAACACAACGCAAAAAGTCTCGTGAGAAGATGAAAGCGCTTTGTACTTGTTGCGGCGTTGCATAAATATTCCTATCCGCCTCCTGTACTTACTCGTTGACGCAGAAAAGTGAAGCATCGAACCAAGTTGCGAATTTAGATACTTATTTTCTATACCCCGGCGAGAGTGGTGTTCGTCGCCTTGTGCCAGGTCTCATGCGTTGAAAAGCGTTCCTCCATCACAGTTGCATATGCAATAGAAATTCGCCTGAGCGTCCTGGATTAGCGATGCGCGTGCTGTACTCAAACTCATCACGCGAACAATAATATAACGCATGAATTCCATTAACCAGTGCCAGAATGTTCTTTTGTAATGCTGGAACCAATGTTCCTTCCTTCAGCGAATTTGTATGGGACTAATATCATGACGTCCTTACAAATTGAATTTTGAATACGAGCAATGGCTAGCTGTGATGTGCAAGCCGATTTTCTTTTTTTTGATATTGAATTTGTCAGGACGTCGTTGTAATAGTAAACATCAAGATCAACTGAAGCATGCTTATAAAAATGATCCGAAAAAAGTTTGTCATGTTGACACACCGGACGCGAGAAGGGTAAGTTCCCGGCTCGGGCACGCGAGGATCAACATGACAACCATGTGCATCTTGATCTTTCCAGGCTCAGACAACTCTCTAGTTGATACCCAGTTCTTTTCCATCACGGAGGAGAGTGCGGGCGTATCAAATGCAAATACTTATGCCTGGGTCGGAAACACTGCATCTTGTCACACTAGGGCGGCGGCTGGATGATCGTACGGCTACAGAAATCTGCGTTGCGTGACCGCCAAAACTTACCCACATCCTACGCAGAGAGCGAATTCCCGTACGAATTTTTTGGCATGAAGGATTTCCCATGCAATCTGTGATGCATCTTTGCGCATTCGATTTCCAGACCACCTGCCTGGGGCTGGACGCTGGTCCAGGAAATGCATGAGAGGTGGAAGGCGCACTCTTCCAGGCCCAGACATATTTGCACGCGATAGAGCATCTGCGTTGTTAACTCGGAGTGGAGTGTGTGTGCCTCGGTCGTACCGCGATGGTAACCCGAATTATATGCGAACCATACGACCTATCCACCGTAAGCAGGCCAGCCTGCGATCCGGAAGTGATGCAATGAAATTTGTCCAGCTAAATTTGTAATGGTCGGGTGATATCGCAGACAAAAATGTGATACGCAGGCAGTGAATTCGCTGAAACAGACAGGTACTCGAAAACCATCATCAACATCAGCAAACTCATCTGCGGCGCAACTTCTTGCCCAACAAAATTACGAGCTGAGGACCATGCACATAGAGAGTCTCGCAGCCACTGCAAATAGGCTGCCGAAATTACCTCATTGCATTTCCATCCAAGCCCAAACTGACGTGTTTCCAGTGAATACGAGCAGGATCCCAATCTTAAAATCTTCGAGTACTATTGTTATTGGTGCAGCATCGAAAATGGGGCACTGACTTTCCGGCTGTATCTGTCATGCTAGATCCACAAGACAATGCATCCATTCACATATAAATATTCCGAGTCTGTGCCTCAGGCTCATCTGTTCAAATTAACGTCGCACGCATGGTCGTGTCCCGCAGCCGGGGAAACAGGAACAGAAGAAAAGCGAATAGGATTCTCGCAACCAACATGCATCATGGTTGGTCCTCTGGCCAATTTCCTCGAGATTCTTTTCCAATCATAATTAGTGCTAGTCCAAAGAACACCAACACTCCTGCCAGTGCGAGTATCCAACAGTGCTGCTGTTATGAGAGTGCAGCACCCCACTCACCCTTAGTCTTATTTGTATATGCAAATACCTAGCCAAATTCACACTGAGTATCTATCCGTTGCTTTGCTCTGCCACAGTTCGCATGACAAGTCACGAAAAGACCCTGAGCGGTGCTTTTTTAAGTCTACGCAAGAGATTTCCATGCACGGGTCCACGATAAGTAAACCACCCCCGCGCTTCTATTCCAGCTCAACACGTTTCCGCTCAAATAAAGGGCGGGAAAGTGTTCTTGCGCACTCTCATATCGACCGGGTTTCGCGCCTGAGCTCCTCCTTGGCCGTCTTATAGGCTGTCTGCGCAGCCAGGCTTACGCGTCTGGTCGCGTTTTCGCGGACCGCATCGACTGCTGCCTCGAGCTCCTTGCGCTTTTCCGAGCGGCTAGTCGAAGAAGTCGCAAGAGCCATTTTTTTTGGTGGTGGAAACGAAAAGAAGCCTTGATCTGTATGACTTTGGGAACGTAGCTGCGTCGATCCTTAGCTCAAGAAACTGGACCAAAACCGGAAAAAACTAACCAAAAAAACGTTGGGGTCCTCGTCGAATGTGATTCAGTTTTTCGTCCCACATTTAACGGCACTGAACACGAAGAACGAAACGCAGTTGTACTGCTCTTCTACTGGAGGACAGGTGTTGATCACTGTCGTGTCATACTCCTGTAACAAAAACGAGTACAGGAGCCGCCACGTAGTTATTTCATCGTAGAAAACAAAAGGACTGTTTCTTCGTCGACGTCGTTGTGTCGGAATCTGTACAAAGGTTCAGGTAGATCAGCAACAATGTGCCGTTGTGCACATGATCTTCTTATTGACAGCGCTAGCAGTTATTTCTTCGCAACTATAATTCTCGTTTAGAGTTTCATCTTTGTGCTCGATGCCCTAGATCCATATATTAAGTAATTTCTTCGATGACGCCCCTCGCGGGAACAAACATTGCCCTCATTTGCCCGATGACTTTCTTCGCGGGATGACAACATTCCCATGTGCGCCGCTGCATTGTAAAACCGTAGTCTGGGGGGCCGCTGCGAGGAAACGGCGGGCCGCCACACTGTTGCTCTACTGTTGATGCAGCTCGGGGTCGGGAAAGATTTACGGAAGATGAAAAAAAAAAAAATCATCGTGGAAGATCCTGTTCACGACGGATTTGCAGTTGGTGGTCTGCCAGGGGATGCGAGCGAACTCTGCTGCGGCTCTACCTCCTGTTCGAGATATGCAATGCAAATGTGTCTGGGTCTGGAAGAGCGCAAACTTGTGATGCGGGTTTACTTATCCTGGGACTCACAAAAACATGTGCTGCTGTAGTAAGGAACACAAGACGCACGACGTCCCGATGCGGAACTACACTCTTGTTTCCCCACTAGCGCCAGTAGGGATGGGAATAAAGTCCCAGCGTGAAGACCCTGCCCCCACGCGCGGCCCTTGTCATTTGTCATGCAGATTATAGCGAAGGAAACAAATGCAAATGCATCCGCAGATTTTGTCATGCTCCGTGTGCTTTCTAGAGGACTTTTTCGCAGGTAGAAAAATTGCATGACAGGCGTCTGCTGTAGTCTTCCAGACCAAGACATATTTGCACTCGATACGGGTTGGTCTTGGATAATTTTCAAGGCTTGCTGCTCCTCGGTCATCGCCTCGTCCGTCAGCGCCAGCTTTCATCCCGTGAAAAAACAATGCCCCCACCTCAGAGGCAGAGCAAATTTGGGATGCAATATTTGCTAGACAACAAAGCATAGTCAACAAGTTTTGCTTTTGCGCATGACAAGTTTGGGCTCGCTAATATGTAGTAACGTTTAGCTAGCGCAGCGGCTTTACACAAGTACTTTCTCGTGCTGATTCGGGCATGGCAAGTTTCAAAGCGAAAACCGAACTAGGAAATCGTACTCATGGTGCTGCGCATGACGAGAAAGTAAGACTTAGACTTCAAGTTCAAGCATGCAGATCAGCATGACAAGTCTCGGGTGGGGGCGTTTTGTTTATTCAGGATAGCGTTTTCACAAGCAGTATCGCGTGGTCCAGGCCCATATCCTGTGCAAAAGCATCGCGCTCGTAGTAAATTGCAGTCATGCGTTACAATTCTTTTTCTTACGGTAAATCCGCATTGTACAAATTTTATTTTGCATGCTGAGAAAATTTGTCATGCAACATTATACGAGTGCTATACATTTGCAACTCATAGTCCTTTCCAAGCGTATCGATCTCGTTCTCCTTCTCGGTTCCCAATGTGGTAAGCTTGCTCTCGAGAGCTGCGATCTCCTTGTCTTTCTCTTTCTTCGTCGCTTGATGCTGCTGCTCGAGCTTGTTCTTAGCGTCAGTTTGGAGACTAGTTTGCTCTTCTGCAGCGGCCACTCTCTTCGCGAGATCTGCGATCTCCTTGTCTTTCTCTTTCTTCGTCGCTTGATGCTGCTGCTCGAGCTTGTTCTTAGCGTCAGTTTGGAGACTAGTTTGCTCTTCTGCAGCGGCCACTCTCTTCGCGAGATCTGCGATCTCCTGGTCTTTCTCTTCGTTCACCGCTTGAAGCTGCTGCTCGAGCTCGACGATCTTCTTTTGTGCCTCTTTCTTTTCGAGCTCGGCGACCTTCGTGAGTACCTCCTCTTCCTCTGCGGCCTTTCGACGATCTTCAGCGGCGGCGACCTTCTGCACGTGGATTTTCGTGATTAACTCTACATTCTCCGTTTTCGCCTTGGCCAACCGGTCCTCCAGGTCTTTGGCCGTCTTCTCCATGAGTGCCGTCGTATTTCCGCTATTCCGTGCCCGAAAAGCTAAGCACCAGACTCGCAGGACTTGCAACTATTGTCATCTATGCATAATTGTATAAAGAAGGTTTTGCTCGTCGGTAGTTAGACCAAGGTAAAAACATTTGTCACAATCACAAATGTCCCTACCTCTAATTCCCTACACAAGTTCATCACCCTGACTCATGTTGAGCGAAATAAAATGCAAGTCTGTACAAGCAATTTTTCCTACAACCAGTGCAATAGTTTTGCAGTGCATATTGATGGACCGCAGCTATCCGCTGCTCGAATGTTGATTTCTGCTCCTGCAGTTCTTCATTTTGCTTTTCGATTGTAGCTTGGAGCTCGTCCTGCGAAGCGTTTGCACGCCAATATCAAACAGCGCAAACCCAATGTTTCTCGAGCCTGAAAAGAGAAAGAAACCACTGTCGCTTGAGTACTCAACATGCGTAAAAGAAAAAAAGGTCATGAGTGCCTAACCAAAAGTTCCAAAGCATCTTGCTCGCGGTTCTTGATCTTTTCAGAACCCGGCGAAACATAATTTGCAAAAAGCATATGTCCAGACGCCGCAGGAGATCTTTGATAATGGCGTCTTGCTGCTTCTTTGCGGTTGTGGAATCAAAGCGGGCTGCACCATCCCGTGGAAGTACGTCGGGGCGTGCAGAAATCCATCTTTCTACTGCAGGACCGCCCCAAGATCAAGTTTTCCCTTTAGTTTTTCTTAGGCGGCAAAGTCCACCAACACGAGAGCATGCATATCATGCAACTACAGTTTCAGACTATCAAGGTTTTTTTTTCGCTGAAGGTAGAAGAGGATGTCATGGTGCGTAGCGCGCGACTGTACTCTCGAGGATGTGAAGCTATGCTCGTGTCGGATAGTTTCTGTTTGTCTGTGCACCTCGGCCTTCTGGCTGGCAACCTCCGCAATCAGTTCGTCACGAGTACGGACACATTGCTGGGGATCTGGTCGAGGTCGACCGTGGCCAAGAACGGAAGCCGCACGATATGCATCTCTCAGAGTACCGCTATTACACAGTCTCAAACTCGTCAAACAATTTCACCAGCATTATACCATCACTGTGTGAGTAGACAAGCCCTTCTGCGATTCGAGTGAAGAGCGTGAAAAGAGTCGTGAGCTTCATTGGGGTTTCATTCATCATCCTGGCAGGCAAAAAAAGAATGTCACCCACCGCTGCGGTCACCTTGCCCGAGACTGTGTCAACTTCTAACTCTGAGGGACCGAAGCATAGATTGCCCCTGGCGGTGGTACCATGTTCGTCCTCGTCCTCCGTCGGCGCTGTACTCTTCGACCCCTCTTCTTGCAGGATCATCGTGATCAGCGCTGCCGCTGCACCACGCGGCGGCACGGAATAAACTAACAGACAACTCGCTTAGTGCCACTGCAACTTCTGTTGCACCCACAACAAAAATCCCATTCTGTTCTGTTGTCTATCTTAAATCTCTACAGCGGTTGCTAGTGTAGTTCTAGGACAAAAAAGACCAGCACAGCCGGACCGATGCTTCTTTTCTGCGGTCTCTGCGCTAAGAAAAAAATGACAACCAATAAGCACATCTTCCGACGACTACAACAGGACATCCAAAAGAAAACAAGAACAACGAAAGAAAGGACTACTAAAGGAAAACGAGACCGCACAGCCACGAGGAAGTGGCTAGAAAAAGCCAAAAAACCAGAAGAAGAAAAATTACGTGGTGGAGGAAGGGGATCCATCATTGTGTTCTTGATCAAGTAAGTACACTGCACTGATCGAAGGCCGACACAATAGATGGAACACCACACAGTGAATACTTTTGCGCTTAGCTCGGGCACTTGTTACGGGCCGAGGTTTCACGAGCCCTCTTCTTCTTTTCAGGAGATATTTTAACAAACACGGGTATTCATCCAGGAGTTTCAAATTTGTCGCTGATATTACTGGTAATGGTTTTTGATGTACAGATTCAATCAGAAGCCATGAATGCATCATCTACATCAGGAGGCACCTCAAGTTAGTGTTCCAACACTAATTCATACCAAATGTTGTTTTTCGTTCGGACACCTGTAGTTTGCCATCAGTACGCTTCATGTCAGACGATAGAAGATTTGAAACTGATAGTAAAAATCGGCATCAATAAGATCCAGCAAGCAGTGGCACCCTCTTTCTCAAAAAAAGAAGTCGAGTCCCGCCCCTTGCCTGTGCATTTTCCCCAGCAGCCCCGTCGCCACACCATTCACTTGGAATGTCTGGTGCCAGGTCTGCGAGTTGTGGTCGTCACACGAAAAATGAGTAGTAGAAGAGCATTTGCATTAACATGGGATATAATTCAAAAAACTCTTTTCCGTGTCCATCCTGTTGCAGTGGCGCTCAAGCCTGAAGAAAATTTGGATTCCGTCGTGCTCGTCAAATTATTTCGGTGTCGCAATAATAAATTGTATCGCTGGGGAGGAAGTTGGTGATGATATAAACAAATGAATGGTTTTACGTTGTAAGCCACTAGAAATACGTTGTAATTGTTGGTTTGTCTGTAAATTTGCTTTCACATTGCTTGTAGTTTAGTGCTCACCACGCTATCCTATTCAATATCAATTCTTGTAAAATTTCGTTAAGGTAATCCGCTGAGGCTGACTTCCACGGACGGAACTCTTGTTTCACACTTTTCGGGTGAGCACTTTCCCTTCAACTATCTTCGACGTGCAGATAAGTTTGATAAAGATGAAGAAAATCTAACAAATCGTTTGTGTTTCTGTTTCTGAGAGTGAGATCTAGTAGCTTCTCCCCTATGAATTATCTTCTGCTGTAGGGTTCATCGACACGTTCAGCAGAGTATCGATTTAAGCAGGACTGATGCCCGTGTAGTGACCGGCCGCCGGTCGCCAGTATTGTCTTTCTTGTGTGTGAGTACTGGTAAATCACAAAAACTTATTTGTTGATACGGTAGTACAAATTGCGTTGTCTTCGGGTTGCAGATTGTGCTCTTAGCTGCATCGCCCGTTTGTGCAGAATTTGCTGGTCGGTTGGTTCTGCGGCCGCATCGACAGAAATTATTGGTCGATAGTACTGGTATACACTAGAAGTAGGTTCTATAGGTCTTTTTTTTTAAATATGTAGGTTCTGGTTAAGTTAACGTGATCTTCATCAAGTTGTTTCTCCTTCAATATATTGCTTTTATGCGATACGTGACCTCTGTTTCTCTGGTATCAAGGATGGAGTGTGGCTTAAAAGCAGGAGCGTCCCATTCTGACAAGCACATGATGTTGTGAATCGCCTATATACAGGCCCAATCCGGGCGGCAACACTTTCAAGGCTTGAGTCGCGTAGTGTAGACGCAGCTGTCTTTTTAGGTTTCAGGCATCGTAGCTGAAGAATAGGAAGTACTTAGCTGCAGCGCGACTATGATCTATAGAGTCTCACTCGTCAGTGTAGGTGAAAGAATCTAGTCGGCGGCGAGAAGCACCTCCGAGGACCGCAGCTGGGCTACATCATCTTGCTCGTTCAGGAACTGCAATTAGGCACTGAAAAAAGTACTTTAATATCTCGGGGCGGTGTAGAACGAAGTAGTGTATTCAATCGAAGTCATCTCGTAATTAACATCTGCGTCGTATGAATGTGTATCAACGTGAGCCGTGCTCCTGCAGCTGCAGTATGTCATTCAAGAGGAGCAAGGGTATTTTTTCCATGATAATTATTGTTTTCACTTGAAGTTTTTTACTTCATACTTAGCAACGACGTCAAGCGTCAGTGTTGCGCCTCGTCCGAATCGGGTGCCGCATCACCTCCACCGCCACCACTCTTGCTGCTAAATATGGTGCGCAAAAACATCGTATGCTGCTTGTGCCTCTCGTCCACGGGCACAGAATACCGAAATCACACATGGATTTAAGAAATGCACCACCATCTAAAATGGTCCGTCATCACTTTAAAGGTCACGCATGCCCAAATTTCGACTTTCATCTAAGCTGTCACAAGTTGTTTCTATACTGCACATCAAATCGTTCCACTTATTAATTTGTTGCAACACAAGTTGCTCTAGTCGCATACGATCCTTTTGCAATTCATAGTACTCGTGCCCTTCATCGAAGAAAAAATCGTCGTCGTGCTAGCGCAATCGCTCGCTACTGTCGCCCCGGTGTCATTTACTTCGTTTTCCCTTTTCGTCGGGCCATCCAGATTTTTGACGTTGTGGTCCTGTTTCCCGGTCGTACTACTACTGACGGTATCATCTGGCTCCGCGTCCATGGTCTTCGTCTTCTGCTTCATCGCCGCCTCCGTCCGCAATGCCGCTTGTCCATTTTCGTCGACCGGCTTTGCTTCCGGCGAAAGCCGCTGCGAATACATCTTCAGGAGCTCGGGGAAGGCGAGTCGCATGCTCTTCAGCTTGATACCGGCATCGGTGGTTTCCATTTTCAAGCCGTGGTTGCATTCCCGCATCAGATTCCAGAACTCCTTTTGCAGGTTCTCGTGCACCTCCTGGGTGTACTGCTCTGTCGGACTCATCGCCGCGGCGTACAGCAGGTCGTCGAAGGCGTTCATTTTCTCTGACAGAAGAAACGCGGACCGTCTGGCGGCTTCGTCCGTTTCCTCCCCCCGGTGGTAGGATCTCTGGCGCGCCATGGTGCGCAGCGGTATGATGATCTGGTTGACGAGCCGAAATCCGTCCTTCTGCCACCGGAGTTGGCCGACCACCTGTTCCAGCGAGTTCAGCCGGCTGTCGCACAGCTGCTGGTACTTCGCCAGCGCACTGTCGTTCATCTCACTGTGTTTTATTGGCGCCTCGTCCAGCTTGTCGAGTCTGACAGACATTTCCTCCACCTTCCCGGAAAGTTGTTGCACCGTACCCGCGAGTGTCGTGTTCTCGTTCCGTAGTTGTTCGGTGCTTTCCAGCACGCGGGTGTGGTTTGCCGCGATAAGGTTGCTCTGCACTTCCCGCTCCGCCTTGTCCTTCGCCACGTTCTCGTTGGTGGCGCGGATGCTCTCCTTCACGGCCAAGATTTTGTTTTCGGTTTCCCAATTTGTGGTTGACAATTGTTGCTTCAGCTTCTCTTGGTTCGAGTTCATTTCTGCCTGCAGCCGCTCGCGCCGCTGGTTATTCACGTACCGCGCGTTCTTCTGCTCTTCGAGGACTTCAGTGCGGTTGTGTTCGATTTGGATGCCCTGCTCTTGAACGGTTCGCTCAGTTGTGGTCTGTCGGGCGGAGAGCAACGCGTTGATACCCTCCTGCACTCTCCGGTCCTTCTGTCGCTGGTAGTTCACGTCCCGGAGCCGCTCGTTGGTTTCCTGCTCCGAGACCGTCTGCCGCAAATCAAGCGCGCCAAGCTGCTTGTCTTGTCGGAACAACTCGTGCTTCACCACGGAGACATTCCTTTCGCTGTCCCGCACTGTCCTGTCGTTTTGCTTCTGCCGGCGCTCGCGATCGGCCTCGTCTGCCTCGAGTTTTGCCAGCCTTCTCTTGATGGCTTCGGCGTCGCGCTCGGTCTGCTCGCGCTCCTCCGCACGCTCCTCCGCGACTGTCGCAAGATGCATTTTGTACTCTTCCGCCGACATTGTCTTCCACGTTTCTCCTATCTCCTCCCGAAACTGCGCCCACTTCTGCTCCAGGATTTGCCCAATCTGCTCCATGTTGGGCTGCAGCTTCTCCATCTCCTTTCTTACTTCTTCGTGAATCTCCGGGCGCACGTAGTCTCGGAGGAAGATCGGGATCTGCTTCGCCAGCTCCTCGCGTGTGACTTTTTCCGCCACCGTGGTTGCAACCGTGGTCGCCGTCTCGGCCGCCACCGTCTGCGACACCGTAGTCGCCGTCTCGGCCGCCACCGTCTGTGCCACCGTAGTTGCCGTCTCGGCCGCCACCGTCTGTGCCACCGTAGTTGCCGTTCTCGTAACGAGATCGACGATTTTTTTTGTTGTCTGCGGAGAACATCCGCACAACTGATCAGCGCCCGCTGTGTCGCTCTTTTCGTCGGGACTGCGACCACTTGCCGGCCTGCCGCTCTCCTCGTCTTGCAGTTCCCCCTCGGAGTCACTGTTGCGGCGAGCACCATTGTAGGACGATCGCCGGCTTGTTGTCGCTGTGGAAGTACCTGGCAGCCGGGTCTGCAATCCGAGCACCGTTGTCTGCGAAATCACGGTCGGGTCTGCAATCCGAACGAAAACCGACGCGGGGATTTCCACGCCCAACGCACGCCCAACAGTTATCCTGAGGAAAAACGCCCCCACCCCATAGTTCAAGTTGGAAAGCCTGTCATTGGTTTTGGCGCTTGCGGATGACAAGTTGTGGTGCCTGCGCGTGACAAGTTTGGAAACATAGCATGATAGTCCTGCCTAGGTACTAGCCTGGACGCATCACAAATGCATTCTCTCAGTCTTATCTAACTATCATAATTCGCGCATGACAAATTACCAATCACGATCACAAAATGCCCGTCATGCGGACAAGCCGCGTGACAGATGCTCTGACCATGCAGATTCGCATGACAGCCCTGGGGTGGAGACGTTTTTACTCAGCATAAGAGTTTCCAAAGTCTTGGACTTCACGTTGTCCGTTAACTTCCACGTGATTGCGGTGGCATCGGCATTGGGGTTGCGGAGGTCGCCTACATCTGTCGGTGCTCCGGTGGTCGAATTGGAGGCTTCCTCTGGCGAGATACTGGCCGGCACCACTGCGATGTGGACCTCGGTGACGTTGCAGCCGACATTATCGTACGAAAAAAGTGTTGCACTGTAACTAAGGATTTTGCAAATTTTGCATGACAAGTTTGTACAGACATTTTGCTTGAAGAAAACTTGCCGTGCGTGGCTCCTGCCTACGGGAAAACACGGCCAGGAATAACTTACCTTGCATGTATAGCAAGACAGACACTTCTGCAAAGCAATGCATTTTCTGCATATCCGAATTTGCAGCGAAGCAGTTTTTTTCTTGCGATAGACGTCGCGAAATTTGTAGTCTTCCGCCTTGCCGAATCTCCTCACCGAATAATGACACGCCGCCATTTCTGGCGACGCATCTGGTTCGACGTAACGGACGTGGAACACCACATGATTTCCACCAATGCAATGGCATCAAATGCAAATATGTCCTGATCTGGAATATTGCCAGACTTGTCATGCTCGTCTGGCAAAGCTTTGACTTTGAGCTCCTTCTTGCGGGGCCTCGAAGAGCTCCAGTCGTATGTCATGCAAAGTCACAGCTTCTCATGCAAAACAGCTACTACACCCCACAGACCGGAGCCACAAAAAAAATGCAAATCTGTCATGTCTGACTGCGCATTACAGTGGAATATGTTGCTCACCGACATGCACTACAACTTTCCAGACCCAGACATCTTTGCAGTCTATAACAGGTACTTGTCGGTCATGGCTTCCTCGCTGTCCACCAAATATCGTTGGGAAAAAACGTCCCCACCACAGAGTTTAAGATGGGGATCTCGCAACACAAGTTCAGAAGAATTGTAAGTCACAGATGACATCACGCACACGCTCATCTCTTTTTTATCGTGCAGTTTAGAAGGTACAGCCGCATCAAAATCATGCCATCTCTTTGTGCTTGTCCTCGTCCGGTCCACGTCCTGTTATACAGCATGACAAATCCGATTCCGAACACACGCTTGGAAACGCCTCTCATGGCGATATAAAACATGCGCAGTACCCTAGAAATGCAAATTTTCCTGCTCCTCTTCATTTCCTCTTCGTGTATGAGTATAGTGCAAATCTGCATGACAATTCTTGCGTCGGGACGTTTTTCCTCAGGATACCAAATTGAGTTTCTTCTGCCACTCGGCAGGTATCACTTTCAAATGTTGCAAGTAGTTAGTAGCACGAATTCGCGTGAGTTGCATGGCCAGCTTGTAAAATCAAGTATCGAGCGCAAGTGGGAAATTGCAAAACTTAGCTCGTCCCCCGGAGATGATGCCAGCACTGTATACTTCTACATTCAACTGTGTATTTAAGTACAACAGCGAGCGCGTTTCTTGTCTTCAAGCGCATTTGAGCATGTGATACCAGCGGCGCCGATCCCAGCGACCTCTATGGACTGCGAAAGTGTCTGGGTCTGGAAGAGTGCAAACTTGTGATGCCAATTTCAGAACAGAGAAAAATCTCTCATGCATAGATAGCAAAAGCTGCCCGCTTTCTGCCAGCAACGTGGCGGGTTTGTCATGCGAATTCGGCAATGCGGAAGCTTCTCAAAACCTGTGACGCTAGATTTTTCCATGCCAGAACTTCTGTGTCATGCAAAAACAGCATGACTCTTCCAGACCCAGACATGTTTGCAATGCATAACCCGGACGGGGATTAAATTTTTGAATCTCCCGAGCGAAATCAGACGCTCCAGCATTTCCGAGGAGATCTGTTTACTGTTCCCGTCGCTGGCCTATGCATTGCAAATATGTCCGGGTCTGGAAGCTTGTGATGCTAAGTGGCAAATCATGAGGACGCCAGAAGTGCCGGAGCATGACAAGTTTCTGAGTTGCTAGGTGTTGTCTATTCTGCATGGCAAGCTGCATTTCATTCTGCAACACAGAAACTTGGGGCTCTTGGGCGACGTGCATGACAGACTTGAGAGCCATGCTAACCGAGCATGGTATACTATGCGCTTTTCCCGTCCCAGACACATTTGCAGTGCATATCGCATCCAAACGGGGTCTGATTGTCGTAGTCGTCGTTGAAGAAATTATCCCCGTGTGGGCCGTGTCGGTACCACCTCATCGAGATTTTTCGGTTATTTTTCTTCCATTTCCACACAACCACGAGCATGCGTAACAAACTAGGACATGCGAACTACAAATGCGAATCTTATCAATATATCGTGTCGCTTGATTGCCACTACCTCGGCACGCATCACAACCTCTGCGTACACAAAAGTATGCATTTCCTTTTCCTACTGGCGCAACTGAAGCATCACATGATGACGTGCAAGAATATTTACAAACTGTACATACCTGCGACGATCCCATGGTCGCGGTCGTGTCCGGTCCCAGCGGTCTGCTCCAATTGTTCCGCGGCGCGCGCAGGAACAGAGGGGCTGACCCCTTCACCACCTGATATTTATTTGAAAGCGATTGAAAAATTTGAGTGAGCATGGTGGATCAGACGCAAGCTGAATCGCTGTCGAGCCTAAGAATAAGAAAACACGACGCATGTTGACAAATGTGAACACTTCAACTCACGCACAGAAAGTTGCAAAAAAATAATACTACCTCCTAAACCCGTTGGCCTCTCCGCTGTTCCGACCACGGACGGATGCACTGGGTCCGACTCCATGTCTTTACGTGGTTTGCTCAATGAAGTTACGGTGTCACTTGGCAAGAGTTTCTTATTCTTTTAAGTAGTACCTATCTGGTCTTGCTACAACCAGCAAAAAAACCGTAGATAACCACCTTCCGCTATTATTGGTGTACTCAATTTTGGTCGGCGTGGAACTTCTACGGTAGTTCAAAATTGGAGACGCAGGGGAGGATTAGTTGGAGAGGCGACAGGATCGCTTTCTTGTTCTGACGTGCGAAAGAGAGATGAAAGTCCTCCTGTTCCTGATATTTACTACCAAAGTTCTACGCCGGATAAGAGAAAATCAATCCAGGTGAAATGAAGCTTGTAGGGCGAAGAGTATTGGTCATCTAAATCTTTGTGCCAGAACGAACCCAGTACGTAGTAGAAGCAGCTGTTTACGGACGTTGCAAAGTGATCAAAGACACAAAAACCGTCTCTACAGCTACAAATACGCACAGTCCGGTTGAACGTACAGGATGCAGAAGCACTTCCGCCAATTTATTACACGACCCGCAGGACAAACGAGCCCCTTTTCTATCGACGTCTGGGTCGTGAATTCAATTTGATAGTACCGTCACAGTTGTGGGTCAAGAGGTCGTATTGACTGAGGCTACTAGCACTGGCGCCGATCGATAACATACACTGCTCGCAAAACGTCAAAATGTCCCGAGGAGCTTCGATGATCGATTACGAGTCTTTCTGCGACACAAAAATTATTTTACCATAGTATATGGGTTTTCTTGTGATCTTTTCCCGTCTATCATTTCAATGTAGAAATGGACACGAGCCTTCCATGGTATCACTATTACAACAGGCGTGTAATTGAAAGGGGATCGAAACGAATGCAACCTAAGCTAATGCGTAACAAAAAACAGGTTCCCGAGCGAATACTGACATAATTCTAGCGTCATGTCTACTCGCTTGCCCTCTCTTTCCCTTGCCAGAAAGTGAAGAAACTCTTACGCGTGCCACGCGTCTAACGAAAAAAACACAGTACAGAAACAGGAGCACTGTTCGAACAATCTTCAGCCTTGTGGAACACACATCGTGGCTCGTTTACTCAATAGCATAGCACCCCTCTTCAGCTGCACAGAGCATCTTTCCAAAAATTGAAGATAAGTGTGTACTTCATTCATTCCTCTCGTGATGCGCGAGGCGAAGCACCAGCACAGCTGTTGAATCTACTTCATTCATAACTGTGCGTTGCGTTATATGAGCACATAGGAATTCTATTCGACTTGGTCTCACCACGGGCACGCACTTTGTAAAAATGTAGCTCGACGACGGTTCTGTGACGCGCAACAGCGAACCTCAAAAATCAGGACCATTTTTGGCTCCCTCACCCCACCTGTCGGCTCCTCAATTCTATTGTCAGCACTTTGGCGCGGTGGTCCAGCCTGGCTTGAACCCATTTTTCGCGTAATTCCAATTTTGTCCGCCCTTGTCCAAGTTATCTTGAAAAATCCACTTCGCGTCGTGGGGTTTCCCATCGGACCCCAACCGCTTCTCGTGCTGCGCCGGCGCCTGGTCCCACCGAAACTCGGCTTCGTGGTTGCCATAGTGCTTTTTGAAATCTTCTTCGTTGTACCTAGGCGTTTTTTTGGTTTTTAGATCTGGTTCAACTTCAACATTCTGTGTAAAGATCTAGATCTTGCCCATCTCACGTGAAAGTGCACAGCACCCCCCCTCACTTGTCATGCAAAATACCAGTAGATACTTAACCTTTGTTTTCCTCTTGGCACCTTTAGCATGACAGGTTCTAGCAGGAGCTCCACCAGCACTACAAATCCCTGATGATGTCATGAAAAGCCTGCACATCTATTGCTATTCATGCCGTACAAATGCGAGGGAGGGGAAATTGTGCAGTGCACTCTCATATCGTCACGCGTTACAACGAAAAGCCTCTGGCGGCAGATGATATTCCGTCCTACCATAACAAATTCTACTTTACCATTCGCCGTCGTCAGCGAGGCGATATTCGGTTTTTCCGCAGATTCCACCCATCGTGAAAGTTTGGGTTTGCTGGGCGGGGATTGGAGTTGTATGCGCGCGGACTGTGTTCCCGGTGGTCGTCGAACGGAACCTGGCAAACTAGCGCTGCTTCTCACTTAGATCAAGACAGCGAGTGAGCTCTAGTTACACTCTGGCAGAAAAAAACAAAAATTTCAAAACTGGATATGATGGATCACAGGACAACAAGTCTGACAAGAGCACTAGTAGTACCGCATTAAGCTTTAGTTTACTGCACGGCTACAGATGTATAAGAATCAAGGACAAGACGGCCTGCGTTTGCTTTGAGAGAACTGGTAGTAAACGTAGTTCGCTTACGCTTTAGAATTCTACACTTCCAGTTAATCACCTCATGCTCATACACTAAGTAGCACTTTTTAGTCATAAAGACCGTCCTCGTGGTCGTGAGTACTCTCCTCACATTCAACATTGACAAATTAAGCTCCACAAGATCCTGAAACAAGAACGTCGCAGCATCATGGATCTTCTGGTATAATGAAACTGTGCTCGCATGATGATGATCTTCACGCCATGCGTTCTTGGTGTGCTAGCACATCCACCCGTGACCACTGAATGCATAAACGTTGTGAAGAGAGAAGTAGCAGCACTCACTCACCATAGTGTAGCTCCTTCGGCAGCTCACAGACTATTAATTTACTCCAATGATCTCGACGCTGATCATCAGTTGCCCCAGCTAGCACCTCCACCTATGGTGAGACATCAAGGCGAGGCTGTTGCTCTTGTTCAATGATCTAGGGGACACCACAGTTTTCACACGTGGACGGATCAAGTCGGAAAGCAGCATGGAAGCAGCAAGACCACGAAAGATCCATCCCCCTCACGGAGGTGGAGCTCGAAGATCACATGATCAAGTCAATCTCAGGCTCAGCACTGCACCAGCATCGAGTTGGAATTTACAGATATGTTCTTTGCTGGACAGAACGAGAAAAAATCACACTTCGCAGAAGTGACTTGCACTGCCATCTTTTCTTCAGGTAGAACATTGTCCTCTTGCGACTGAATCAGCCTATAGTAACTGGTTCTTCCTCCAGATTCCAGCTGGTACACTGCGAAAAATTGAACTTATCAAGTTTCATTTGCACGCCAGAAGGGGCTACACGTTCTTGTTGATCAGTTCTACTTCGTCGCCCGGTCGGCCGAATTCGGGCGTCCGGATGACTAGCTCGGGGACCCCGCTTAGATGGTTTAGTAATACTTTGGTCATGTTAATACACCCCTCGTCTTAGAAGTCTGGTTTCCAGCAGCACGGGCACACCTCAGTTGTGCGTAGTAGCGCGTCTCCCCTCGACCTCGAGAAGTTACGGACACTATCAGCTGTAGGAGGTTGCAGAAAATGGATCGCGTGTGGCGGTCGCCTTGTGTCGTCCCTTCTCGGAATGCCAACAAAAACCTCGAGGCACTGGTCTCCGTCGGTGTCGTCGTCCCCGGTACTGATCAGTTTGACGACGAGGTCTTCGTTGCTCCTGCCGCATGTGATGTATTGCGCTGCGCGGATCCATGGAGACTCATCGCGCAATTTGACGCGCCTCCGGTACTGTCGCTCATGCCCTGCCACGATCATCTGTTGCCACGGCTCCGCGACCGTGTCGTGGTTGGCACTAATTTCCAGCAGTTTCTTGCACCTGGGCCTATCACCTGTAGTATTGAAAAGTGCGAAGCAGTGGCTGTCCACTTGGAAAGGGAGGTCTGCGAATTTTCTGGGCCAGTCTTTCCCAACATCGCTTTCGCGACTGATCAATCTTCAGGTTGCGGTGTTGATTGACCGATCCCAACACTCGAAGAGGCCTGCCAACCACGACAACCGCGTTGCATCGAGCCGGGCCGGTCCTCCGTAAATGCGGATCTCCGACTCAGCTACTTCTTCTAGCTCCTCTGCGGTGTCCGCCAGCACGCCAGTGAAAGCGTACCGCTCTACACCTTCTGCGTCAACTGGGAATGGGAATCCCATGGCGCCGGAACTGATGTTGTTCTTGCTGATGCTGGTGCGGTCTACGTATTGCATCGTCTCTAACAGCCCCGCGGCTCGCCAGTGCTGCTGCCCCTCGTCGACCAGTGCAACGACCCAGCAGCCGCTCGAATAAAACCGGATCTGCAGGGTCGTGTCCAGGACAGTTTTTTTCTTCGCGTCGTAGATCCACACTACTCTGTGGTGCCGCGCCACGACACGGTAGCGGCGCCCCATGTCTCGGCCGCCGAGGAACAGGGGAATCTTTTCCACGCAGCGCAGAGGACTATCGGCCCCGTCGAGGCGGCGGAAGAGGTCGGCCTTTGCGTTAGGATCCGACAATGTTCTGTATAGCTGGTGCCTCAACAGCTGGCGCGGCTTCGAGATCGGAAAGAGAAATTTTTGTCGCGGGAAGGCGGGAAACGCTAGCGTAGTCGGCGGCACGATTAAGCGGCCTCCCGCGTCGACAAACCGCACTGGAAGACGTAGAGGAACCCGTAAAATAAAATTGCCCCAGATTGTCACGATTTCACTTTCCCGGCGCGCAGCCCTAGTGCGCTCTTCCCGCATCTTCTTCGTTCGCAACAACGCAGTTAGCCTGCTCCACCTGGCTAAGTCGCGCTGCTCCATCTGGTAAAGAAGGAGATCATTCGCTGCTGATATCCGTGTGCCAACGAAGCGGTTCCAACCCCAAATATGCATATGAACGGAGAAAATGCAAATCCGGACACGAAGAAAGCCAGGACCTATCGTGATTTCGCCGTCTTTTTTTCCCAAGCGGGCCAATTCTTAGCTAAAGAAAGCCATTTTTTCGCCAACAATTGGTCAGAAGGAAGAAAAAACCCCAGGAAATTGCAATCATTCTTCGGTTTTTCTCGTGTCCGGTTTTGCATTTTGTCCACCCATAACTCAGCATCATGAACATTATGTCAAGGTGGCCCCTCGAGAGGTCGTCGCGGCGGCCGGCCCAGCTCTCCCATGTATAATCTTTCTGGAAGATCTCTTTATCCTGGAGTCCCCACTTAGGAGGCTCCAGGATGTGCACTGGCCCGACGCTGCTGCTGCTTTTCGGAATTCCGACGAAAACCTCGATGCACTTGTCCTCCTCCTCGTCGTCGTCGTCCCCGGTACCGATCACTTTGACAATGAGGTCCTTGGTGCCCTCGTCGCACGTGATGTATTGCGCTGCGCGGACCCATAAACATTCATCCCGCAATTTGACGCGCCTCCGATACTGTTCCCAGGCCGTCCGCCACTTTTCGGCGCGCCATTCTGCACGCTCCTCGAATGTTCCTGCGCGGTTCAGTTGTCTTTTCGCCAGTTTCACGTCCCACGACGGGAGGTAATCAAGAACTGCGACGAAGAGTGCGATGCAGTGACTGGTCGCCTTGACGCGAAGGGCACCGATTTTTGCGCGCCACTCCCCAACACCGCTTGGGAAGCTAAGCCAGCGGAGCCAGTGTGCAAAGTTCACGGGCCACTGCCGAGTATATGTCTCGTCACGGCGCCACGCTTCTGGAAAAGCGGTGCAAGGCCCTGAGCTAAAGCGAATCTCCGACTCGGCCACCTCCATCCCTTCTGCGGAGCCCACCACGCCGGAGAAAACATACTCCTCATCAATGAAGTCCTCGGTCCGCCAGTTTTCTTCTAGCACTCTTGCGCTATTGGCGCGGTCCGCGGGTTGTAGCGTCTCCAGCAGACCCGCGCCTCGCAGAGGCTGGCTCTGATCCTCCTCGTCAACCAACGCAATTACCCAGTCACCACTTGCGTAAAACCGGATCTCCATGGTCGTCTCAACAGAGGGGGGATCTTCGCCATTTTCGCTTGTTTCGCCGAGCCAAATCACTCTGCGCCGCGCCACCACGCGGTACCGGCGCCCGATGTGTCGGCCGCCGAGGAGCAGGGGAATCTCGTCCACGCAGCGCAGAGGGCTATCGGCGCTGTCGAGGCGGCGGAACAGGTCGGCTTGGGCGTCGGGATCCAGCAATACACTGCACGCGCGTTCTCCGAACAGCTCGCGCAACCTCGTGATTGGTCGCCCTGGTGTGCAGTGGCAGTCATACGCGCCGCTGTCGTGCGCGCCGCTCCTGTGGTAAGTCAAAGAAGCGCCACCGTCGTGAGAACAATCACACGTGGCATGTTTGGCTCCCCGGAAAAGAAATGTGGTTTGCGGTACGATTAACCGACCTCCCGCGTCCACAAACCGCACTGGAATGCGCATGCGCACCCGTGACAGTTTCCTCCACCTTGCCACGATTTCACTTTCCCGGCGCACTGCCCTTGCGTGGTCTTGCCGCAATTTCTTCATTCGCAGGAACCGAGTGAGCCTGCTCCAGCCGGCTAGCATGCGCTGCTCCTGCAGCATGATCTTCGTTATCCGCGATTTCTGCAGGGCGTTCTGTACACAGCAACTCCACCCGGCCAGCGCGGGCTGCTCCCGCTGCAGGATCTTCGCTATCCTCGATTGCTGCAAGGCTTTTTGCACACACCCACTCCACCTCCTGACCGCTGTGGTCTGCTGCCGGAGCCTACGAAACACCCAGTACAGTACGACCAGCACGCCCCCAAGAGCAGGAAACAGTATTTTTACAGCCGTCGCGCCAACAGGAACTCCGTGGCCCGGCACCGTGCAGGCGAGCAACAAGGCCAAGCAAGCTGGCATGAGGCGGAACAAGACGAGCTGTCTTTCCCCAAACTCCCTCCAACTACACTGGTGCCGCAGCGAAATGACGAACGCAGCGGCTATGCTGCTGTGGAGGTGGTAAAAAGATGATCTACGGCCGGATCTATTTCTTTCGTCAGTGTGCTCAACATCGTCCCCTCTTTGCACCAACCACTGCGACGTACTGGTGGTTGCAGTATTGCTCAAGAAGCTCGAAGATTTCTTTTTCCCGAAGATGCCGAACTGCAAATCGTCCTGCAACTGAAGGTCCGGATCGGGTTTTGCGGAGGACGCGGGCGCGCCGCACGACGGTCTCTGTTGTTCTCTCGACATTTCGCGGCGCGCGGAGGAACAAAAGGTCTTCTGGTGTTCTTGCCGCATCTTCTTCGTTCGTAAGAAAACAGTGAGCCTGCTCCAGCCGGTCAGCGTGCACTGCTCCTGCTGCGTGATCTTCGCATGCCGCGCCTGCAACAAGGACTTCCGCGCACATGCACTCCAGCCGCTTAGCACGCGCTGCTCCGTCATCTTCCGCGCCCTCCTGCCCCATCCGCAAACCGCCGTCACTGCCGTTGGCGTCCGTCGGCGAACAACGAAGCGAGCGAGCGCAGTACACAAGAGTATGAACAACAAGAGCATCGTGGCAAGCAGAAATCCATCAAATGCAGCGGCTGGAGCTACGTCAAGATAAACGTCAAAATTTCTCTCGCAGATGAACATGAAAAAGGGTTGGCATTTTTCCTTTCCCGGGAAAACAGCGGCCAATGTGGTTTGCACGGCATCGTCAAGAGCGATAATGCGAGCGACCGCAGTACACAAAAGGATGACCAGCAGGAGCATCACGCCGAAAACGCGAAAAGTGGGTAAATGGCGAACAACGTTCATCTCGTAGAAGTGCGTCATGTCATTGTACAAAAACTTCTTGAAGGTGCGCAAAAAATTGAAATTCCCAGATGTAGGATTGGTCGTCGTGGCTGGCGTAGCAACATCAGCACTCCTGACGGCATTCTGCGACACGCCGTCCACTGTGCTGATCCCAGCTGGAATTTTTCCTTGCTCCGACTGCATGATCTTGGTGTTCCAGGGGCGTGGGTTGGTATCAACGCCGTTGATCAGGTTCAGGGCAGAGAACGTTGTCGTCGAGGCACCGTACTAGACATTGCAGTTTACTCACCACAGCGATTGCGATGAAACAGGCGGCGGAATGTTCTTGTCCCGGGAGAAATCACAAGGACGCGCGGTTGTCTTGTTCGCCTAAAACTGGTAGTACTGTCCCAAAATGAGTTCGCCTCTCCGGCACCGGTTCTGCGATGAGGACCATAAAGGTTGTCTGTTTTCGTCTTGTTGGGTGAGGTAATTCATTATAGTAGTTTGAAAAAAACCTGAGCGCTGTTTGAAAGCTAAGATCTGTTCGATTTGCAGAGGGGAATAATCAAGTCGTATATTACTTGTTGCTCTACTTACATCGAGTAGTTCTGTTTCTATCGAGTTGGGACAAGAATGGTGAAGCGAGTGCTTTTTCTGTCAATTTACTTGCTTGACACTTGATTGGTACAACGGTGGCACTCGCTCTGCACTCGCGATTTTTATGGACACAGGCTCGCGCTCGACGGCAAATTCAAAGAAGAAAAGATAAAGAAAGACAGAGACGAAACACTATATCAGTGGGAAAGCGAAAAAACAATGTTGTGAAGACACGAGTAGGACTCATTTTGTCAACTCTCGGACAGCAGCGGCACCATCAACAGAATCTACTTCCTCTCTTCGATCGTGCTTTGCGTTCACGATACTAGTTATGATGCTAGGAAAGCAGGCGGACGAATCATGACTCTACTTCGGCACCAAAATTTGGGAAACTGGAAATGCAAATGGCAACCATCGTAGAAGAAGCATGAGAAAACTTGTTTCTTCAATCTTGCGATGTTGCGCCACCCGGCCTCTTGAGAACCGCAAAGCGCGGAGCCATATGAATGGTTTTCCGTTTGAATGACCATGCAAGATGATAAAAAAGAGGACGCAGCTGGAGATACTAGTACCAAACGCGAGGACGGCGGCTTGTGTATTGATTTGGCTGCTTCTCGTCCCGCCGTCTGTTCAGAAAAAGAGGCCGCACACCTGCTCGAAATCTCGCGCATTTGCGATGCGTTTCCGGATATGAATTGTGAAAGTGTCTGGGTCTGGAAGGTTGGATCTTGTAATGCTAGCTTTCCATATCCATACCTAGAAAATCTGCATTGCATAACCAACAGAAGACGCAGCCTCTTTTGTCGTGCAAAAACGCAGTTTCTCATGCGGATTGCCTATGGGCAAGCGCTTTGGGAAGTTGTCATGCCGGACTGCATTCGGAGGTGTTTTCATCATGCACATTTTAGCATCACAAGTTTGCAGACCCAGACATTTTTGCATTTGATACCGGAACGGCTCGAACCAGGTAGCGCGGATCATGCGTTTCTGTATGCATATGCAAATAGGTGGTCTCGGTCTGGATTTGTCATGCAAGAAAATCTTACAGGCGCTAGGATGATCTGTGGCGCATTAAAACCCGCGACGAGTTTCCTCTTTTCATTCTGTGAAAAAGTAAACTCATTTTTTTTGTCTTGCGGTTTATTCCGAATGAACCTGCAATCTTCAGCCTCGTAGAGCCTCTGTTGCTATCATGCCGTAACAAAAGCGGGGCGGGTTACACTACGTGCAAGAATGCGAGGATAATCACCACCAGCAGCACAAATTTCGAGACAACATCCGAGTCGTGATATTTGCTGTGCATATTGAGAAAAAAATTGTTGAACAGCAGCTGCTGTCGCTTCCACAGGGTGCATATCTCCCTCCAGCACTTGTCTGCGGCAGGTGAGTCCTGAACAACACTGGTAACGTTCGATAAGGCGACACCAGCACTTAATATGCCACTGGTAGTCTTCACGTTGTTGACGCCCGTCTGCTGCTTTTCCTGCTGCTTTATTTCCTGCTGGAGATAATTTGCGCACACGTCACCGGCGGTCTCCGTCCTGCGCATAAAGGCGGTGAGCCCGACGTGCAGAGTCAGCGAGGTAGCTTTAGAGGTTTGCGGGGTAGAAAGATAATTCTCACTGGCAGCAGAAGTAGATGACCTCCTCTGGCTTATCTGCAGCATCCGCTCAACTACGTGGTGCATCAGGGAAAAATCTATTTCTCCCTTATTTTCTTGCTCGCCCCTCGCAGCGGAACTTCCTGCAGCTCGCTCCTGCTCGGATGTGGTCTTCTCTGGTGAGGTCGGAGTTTGTAGTGATGCGGAAGAGGCAAGAGCGGGGCTTGCACTCTTTCTTGTTTGGTCACCGGACGAATGGAACCCAAACTCCCATCGCCAATTGAGGAAATACTGCCATTTATCAACTGCAAAAATGTCTGGGTCTGGAAACTTGTAATGCTAAAAATGAATGATAAACGCACTGCACTACGCAGCTATGCATGACAATTTTTTTGGCTGCCATGTCTTACGTATTCCGCATGGCAAAGTGCGTTTTTGCATGACAGATAAGACAGCTTTCTCGTGCATATGCAACACAGATGCTCGAGTCATGCCAAACAAGCATGACAAACTTGCATTCTTCCAGACCCAGACATATTTGCAATGCATGCCATTTATCTCGATCCTCGATTGCTGCGCTCCGGCGTCCACGCTGTTCGTGTCGTCCCTCGCGTGACCCACTTCTTGTGCTTTTCCGACCTTGTCTTGCTCTATGCTCCTTTTCAAACACCCCCTTCAACTGAAAAGGCAGGAACCAGTCGTACCAGAGCGGTCGCAGACCGAAGGAAACTTTGCCTCATGCAGTGCAAATACGTCTGCGTCTGGGTCTCTGAAACAGTTGAGCTTTGTCATTGTCGTGCCAAAAAATCTGGACTGTGACAGAGTCTGTGTCGCATGATTGCCAAAAGCTGTTCACTTGGGCCTATTTGCAAGGAGGTTTCAGCTCATGCAGGATCGGCAGGAGATCTCACGGAATCTGTCTGTCATAGTATGCCAAACATATCAGATTCAGACCTCTGCATCACGGATCATGGAATAAAAGCTGCATGTCAACAAGTAGTTAAAGACATGTTTGCATTTGATACGCCTGGAAAAACGTGGATATTCGGCCCGGTGGGCGGAATCTGGAATTTCGACGAAGGAGGCCGGACGGGATAGCAGATTGTGGCTATGAAAGTGCACAACCCTCCCTCCCCCTCGTTTGTCTTTGAAAATGTACCAAATCCAAGCGCTGCTGCATGGTACTGTTTGCATGACAGATTGTTCTGGAAGCCCAAACAGTACTGCCCTGAGCGCATGAACCTTTGTTATGCACAGGCTCCACAGGCGGGGCTTTCTGTATGGCTGTTCATGCAAAACAAATGAGGAGGAGAGGGAGTTGTGCACTGTCATAGTGGAGGTGGCATGATCTCCATCGCCGCGTTGGTCCAGTCTTGACGCTGGTGAGGCTTCTGCCGTTCGCAATCCTCCTTGACGAGCGGGTTCAGGCTGAGAACCACCACCACTTTGAGTTTGATCATACGCATTCGCATACCGTGATTCATTATGTTCTCTTCGTGTCCTCTTTACACGGCAAATTTCTGGAACGCCCGTGACTGTCATCAAAGAGGTGCTCGGGTTGGAACCAGCAGGACCACCAGGGTGAGTATAGTGAAGGTTCTTCTTATCGCTAATGCTGTCCGCGGCGGACGCAGTTTTTACGACCTCGAATTTGCCGACTTCTACCAGCTCTGCGGAATTGTAGAAATCCCAGGCGGCGCTTGAAGCGGCTCGTTCGAGAGATTTTTTATCTTCATTGGCATCTTCACCAGGGTCTACTCGTCCACCTGTTGATGAACCACTTGCAAGCCCGCGCTGGTCAGAAACAGGACCACTTTCGCCATTTCTCCCAGTATTTTTTCGACCAGCAGTGCTAGTGGTCGTAGATGATAGAGGAATAGCAACCTTCGTTGACGAACTGGCCGCACTTCCATTTTTCAGTAGCTCCCGCAAGGCTGTAGTAGTAGAAGAACTTCCACTTGCACCGCCCCCACCTGCAGAAGATAACCTCCTGCTTTTCTCCTGCATCGCCACCACCCGTGCCACCGCCGCAATAAAGAGCGTGCTCAGTTGGTACTCTTCGCACAGCAAGTTTCCGGTTTCCGGCTGTAATGCCGCGTGGTCCTCGTTGTACCGAAGCGATGGCTGTGCGAGAAATCGAAAAAAATCCGCGGGAAAAAACTGGCCCTCGTGGTGGTCGAACCAAGTGACAGGAGGGTAGTTTTTCTTGGGAGGGGCTGCTTCCTGCGTTCCACTTCCTACGCCGAGAATCCTAGTGACAAGAGAGGCGATATTTTTTTCTGCATCCGATAGAAAACCGCCATGTCATGCAAATCGATGTGCACGCCGCACGAGAACAAGCACAGTCTGAACTCACGTCGCATGTTGCACATGCAGTTGCAGCAAGGCAGAGATTATAAATCTGCCTGTGTCTGAGCGCCATATTACCGACTCATTGACTGGCATGACAAACCGTCCTCAGACAAGCAAGGTAGACTTCTGGAAAATATTTGCGTACAGGCTGTGTGTCTTCATCTAGTTACTTCGACATGGAATGGCGTTTTTTTCTCTGCGACCCATACTCTTCGCACGGCCGGTTCCAATAGGGGACATTCTTCGTTTTGTCAAACCGTTCCAAATCGATCCCTTCGCGTTCGGCCATCGGCCGCTGGTAGCACTTGAATTGGTCATACTGCTTCCAATACCGCCCGCCTTCCCGCTCTGACTGCGGCCCGTCTCGTATTCGTGCCGTGACAAGCCCGAGCCCCACGTGGTTGGTGAACACGTAGTCTTCCAAATGCTCCCGAACGAGAAACATGTTTGACGCCGCCAGGACGATGTGCGTGATCTTGTCCTCCCCCGTATCAACTGTAAAAATGTCTGGGTCTGGAAGATTCCGGGATTTGTGATGCATATTTTGTATGATCCATGCTTCATGTGATGCATAATCTAGCATCACAGACTTTTAGAGGGCTTCCTGATGCCTAGCCCGCATGAGAAATGCCCTCTCCGCGTAACACAAACTGGACCCCTTTTGCTGGTCACGCAATAGTACACATTTTTTTAGAGTCCAGAGTTAGCATCACAAGTTCCAAACTTCCAGACCCAGACATTTTTGCATTTGATACCCCGTCTGGTTCAGCAAAATGCCAATATTGCTCACGTGCGCTCGGAGGATCGCGCACTGCCCGTAGCCGACGGAATACCGCTTGCGGTTGACGATCAGTCGTTTTTGCGTATGGGCGTGCTTTATGCATTGCAAAAGTATCGTACTGCTATAAATGCATTTCAAATTTCGTCAGTGTGAGAGATCAAATTTGTAATGCGGACTTACCTTCAGATAAAGATTTGTAATGCATGCCTACAATACGAGAACGATACTTTTGCACAGGATATGCTTGTTGGCGAAGGTCTCAAGGTTCGTGAACACTTCCTCAGCGCTGTCGGTGTGCATTTTCTGCTTCATCGGTGGATACTTAGAACGGCTGTTTACGTTATGAACTGCAAAAGTATCGTGAGCACTAGCAGAAGTTGTAGTAATTGCAATACAAATTGACTCAGCATGACAAATGGAATTTGTCATGCGGATTTGCCTTAAGAAAAGGATGTGTAATGCATAAACGCAATTAGTACGAGTGCGATACTTTTGCAGTGCATATACGTGCAATACCAGCAACGTCGATTTCTCCGTTTTCCGGAGAAAAGAGCGCACGTAGTCGGTGAGATATTCCGCGTCCTCGTAGACGGCACCGGAAATGCCAAGGCGGAAGTGGTGTAACGGCTCCAGCTGCTCGGGGAAAGGTTTTCCTCTACTAGGCGAGGGTGATGGGATATCGCAAGAAAAAACTGCTTCACTGTAAACTTGTAATGCAGAAACTGTATCTGAGAAGCGTTTGTCTTGCGACACACGCAAGACACTAGATTTTATCTGTGTTTTCCCTTACGAATCTCGCATGGCAAATTTTCTCGGTAATGTAGAACAAACTTGTGATGCAAAACTTGCAAAATCCTTACAGCGAAACACTTTTTTCGTGCGATATGGGAGACTGGATGATGGGAGACTTGTCCCTCCTGTTCTCGCCGATGCACCAGAAGCTGCTGGTCCGCCGTCAGCTCCGGAACGACCCTCTCGCGAACCAGTACTACCCGCAGCCACCGTCGCAGCTGCACCTGCTCCAGGTCGTGACACCAGCGGAGGCGAACTGGTGATCTTCCCTGCACCGTAGAGCAAAAACTTTTCCAGTTCTGTCCGATCAAACTGCATCTTCGCCCTATCAAATGTAAAAGTGTCTGGGTCTGGAAGAGTGCCAGGTTTGTCATGCACATTTTGCATGACTCCTGATGTCTGTGATGCATGCCCTAGCGTCACAGATTTTGTGAGGGCTTCCTGATGCCTATACCGCATGACAAATGCTCTTTTCGTGTAGCAAAACTTAGACTCTCTTTGCTGCTCATGCAATTACAGACTTTTTTGTAATCCAAAATGAAAATCAGCATGACAAGTTGGATTCTTCCAGACCCAGACATTTTTAAGTACATTTGATACGCCCGCTGCAGGTACGACGCCGGCGTTTGAAGGAGGCTTGTCCCATCCGGCGCTGAGGGTGTCAGGGAAGAAAAGGTCAGGACGACGTCCTTGTTGAGGTAGAAGGAAAGGAGGACGAAAAGAAACACCGTGAAATAATACCGGGTTCTGTGGTGTTTCCTGTCTGACAAAGCTTCGGCGGCTTTGGTGAAAAGGAAGCGGCAACAGCAGAAGACCCTGCAAACCGCCTTGCAGCACCGGGAACAAGAGCCTGGGCCTGCTGATAGAAGCGACATGGTTAAAAAATGACGGTGGCGCAAATGCAAAACGGCTCCGGAGGTGCTAGTGTGGAACTAAGCTATGCATATTTAAGCGGGGCGGCGAGCGTCTCTTTGGCGTCGGGCATCAGCCAACACCAACAGCAATAGCAAAACATCAACTTTATAAAGTAATTAGATCGATTTCCAACACAAAGATTTTAGCATCTACCGCTGAAAGTGAAAGTGAAAGCTTCCCCGATGGGTTGCATTGCTTGCGCGGCGCCACCTACGAGAAAAAAAATTCAAGTTTCTCCGAACAAACATTTTGCTGCGACAAAATCGCCCAGGGAGCAGGCCTCGTCGGCTCGGTCGCTTGTTTATCTTCATTCGTGTGATCGCGCGTAAGTACACTTCACGTTCCTCATCTCTACTTATGGCGTTGACGCGTAGAGTTCGTTAGTAGCTCTTGTTCTTCCCGGCTGAAACCGCATTGAGTCAATTCCTCCTCCAAACATTCTAGCATATTCTGCAGTAGCGCACTGCGAAACTCGACGCATAGCATGCGATGCTCGCAACTGGAATCTCACGGTGTACCAGCACTAGTCGTGGCAGGAGCTGGCACTTTACCGCTTAGTTCTCCCACTTGATGCCCCGCTGCATCCTCAAGCGTTTTTCTCCGCAAGACTAGGTCTAAGCAGTCTATCGGCACCGGGTCCATGTTGTAATCGAACTTGTTCCCGGTCCAATGCGGCATCTGTGCGATCTATCGCAAGAAAAAACTGTTTCACTGTAAACTTGTAATGCAGAAACTGCATCTCAGAAGTGTTTGTCTTGCTACACATGCAAGACAGGCGATTTTTAGCTGTGTTTTCCCTTAGGAACCTCGCATGCCAAGTTTTCCCTGTCATGTGTAACGAACTTGTCATGCCAAACTTGCAAAATCCTTACAGTGAAACACTCTTTTCGTACGATACGATCCAGGGAAGATCTAAAGCGCCGTAGGTACAGGATTTTCGAATGTACTTCCCGTGGGGCTTATGCAATAAAAATTTGTTCCCGTACTTCTACACGACGCACAAACAAAGTGCATGACAAACTCGCTCCGCCAAACTTTGTCATGCAGAAGCTGCATATGCATTTGCACCTGTGCGGGAACGGGATAAAATTTCCTCTGGATAACATTTGGGATTCGCGATGACATTGACCCTTTCCATCAAGTATCAAATGCAAAAGCATCGCACTCGTACTAATCGCAGTCATGCATTACAAATCTTTTTCTTGAGGCAAATCCGCATTACAAACTTTATTTCTCACGCTGAGGAAATTTGTGATGCATTTATACGAGTACGATACTTTTGCACAGGATATCAAGTACGGATCGCTGTTGACGTTGAAGGTGCCGATGAAAGTGGTAAAAAAGCCCTTGTTCTGGACTACCGCCATCTCGTCGTCGTTCCAGTTGAACAAAAACCGCAAGACGTAGTTGTAGAGAAATTTCACTGGCAGGTATTTCGCCTGCGTTTGCACTTGGTCGTACGTCTTCGCGTACACAGCCTTCGTCATCGCCCGGTCCTCCCAGTTATACAGATGCGACCTGGATTTCAGCTCCGACAGGTCGTAATCTCTGTGCGGGTATGCGTTGCAAAAGTGTCTGGGTCATGTGGAAACTTGTGATGCTGGGTGGCGTATCATGAGGAGCCCACAACTGCTGGCTCACCATGACAATTTTCTGAGCTTCTAGGTGTTGCCTATTTTTCTGCACGACAAACTGCGTTTCTGCGTGACAGAAAACTGGGGCTCTTGTGTAACGTGCATGACACATTTATATTACGAGTCATGAAAGACAAAGACAAGCATGACAAAAATGCATCCTTTCAGACCCAGACATATTTGCACTTGATAGCGGGGGGAAGGATCCGGGGACGGTCGGATAGTGCCGGATTAAAGTGCCCCAGAAGCTTTCGTCGGATTCGTAGTGGAGTTTGGTCCAGTTCAGAAATTTTTGTACCTGGAAATCCTCTTGCATAAAGGTAACCGTCACCTTGCTGAGTGCGTAATAGGCCGAACCGGCAAAATATCCACAAAAAAACAACCATCCCCATCCAATTTGTCGTGCAAAGCATGAGCGACGTCCTGTGTTTGTGATGCATAAAATGGATGGAGATGGTTGTTTTTTCCTGGATACAAAAACGCCGGTGTCTTTTCCAAACGGACTGCCCCACCAGTCGCGTCGGCCGTTGCCTCGCTCGGGAGCGGCAGTGTCGTGAAAAATGAAGCTCGTGTCCGTGTAGCTGGTTTCAGTGAAGATTGGCAGATGAAAATTTGAATTCTAGTATCCCTGGAGAAATTTCTTCCCGTGGACGCAAGAACTGGAGGAATTCTTAATTGGTCATCTCCCTGTAAGTCTAAAACTATACGAAAAGCTACACTGTAGTATGCCTCTTCGCTATATGCAGACGACCGGGTAAGTAAATCTTTGAGGCCAAGAAGCACCCAACGCAAACTCGCTCTTTTCGCATGCCGCTTTGAGAGTTCGCAAAAGAACGCGCTCGGAACAGGCAACACAAGTATAATTAGATACCTGTTCTGCGCCCCCGCTTTCGCGATTTCCCTTTCCGCTGCAGATTTTGATGCAGCCCCCGACGACGTCTTCAGGAATTTCAGGTGCGAAAAAAACGCTCTCCAGTCCTGGTCCAGCAAATGCGCCTGTTTTTTCTTCTCCGCGCAGATTTTCTCCTGCATGCAATTTATCCTAATGAAAAACGTCCCCACCCCAGAGTCAAGATGGGGATTTTGCAACACAAACCTTCAAGTTTTGGGAGCCACGCATGACAAATTGCTAGCTGTACTAGTGTAGTGCAGTTTGGAACAGGGAAGTCGCATTACAAATCCATCTGCTTATCCTGTTTACAGCATTACAAGTTCCAAAGCACGATCGGGAATGCCTATCATGGGGATGCGCATTACAAACGCTCTTGCGCTTGCAGATCTCCATTACAACTCTGGGGTGGGGATGCTTTTACACAGGATACAATTCCGCTCTGCATCGATGGCCCTCTGCACGAAGTCCTTCACCCGCCAGGTTTCCCGGACGCGCCACAGCTTGTTTTCCTCCACGTTCATATCCACACTGTAGGTCTAATGAGAGTGCACACGTCCCCCTCCTCCTCATTTGTCAGTATTGCATGAACAGCAATACAAACACCAGCACACGTGGTGCCTGTGCATGACAAATTCATTCGCCTAGTGTGGTACTGTTTGGGCTTTCGGCAACATCTGTCATGCAAAGAGTGCCATAGGGAAGCACTTGGATTAGGTATTTTGCATGACAAATGAGGGGGAGGGGGAGCAGCTGTGCACTCTCATATGTCTCCGCCCGCCCGTTTAACGCTTTCAGGTCCCGAACTTTCTGCAAGTTCGTTTTCAGGGGTATTACAATGAAAAATGCCTCCTCCTCATATCAAAACGGAAATCTGTGATGCAGATTTGTGGTCACAAATCAGCTTTGTGATGCTAGAAGGCAAAAGATGCGGACCGTAGTGCTGCCTAGCGTGGGAAAGCCTTGCAGCTCCAGGATGACAGGAGGCAACGAACTGGAAGTGGAAAGCAGCATGACAGATTACCTGCAATTTAGGCCGCAGCTTCGTTTCTTGGCCTTCTAGCAATACAAGTCCATTTGTGTACTCAAATACAGCATCACAAATTCGCGCATCTTCCGTTTCCGATATGGGGTGGGGGCTTTTTTCAGTTTGATAAGGGGGTAGTCCTGTCCACAGAGGTTCAGCACATACTTGTAGTCGAACTTCCGCAAATCCTGCAGACACCGCATGTCCGCCTCCACGCGCGTCCAACTCACGTAGTAAACGCCAACCGGGTCTGATGCGAGAAACGTGTTGCGCTTTTGATGTTCCATCTGGTGAAGCTCCTGCAGGTCGTTCTTGGCGTCAAAATTGGTGGTGCTTCTACCCGGGTCGTAGTAGTTCGCCGCTATCCTGTGCAAAAGTATCGTATTCGTACTAATTGCATTTATGCATTACAAATCTTTTTGTTAAGGCAAATCCGCATTACAAATTCAATTTGTAATGCTAATCCAATTTGTAATGCAATTTATACTAGTACGATGCTTTTGCAATTCATAGCCGCTAAATTCAAGCAGTGGACCAGTGCTCTCACCTGATTCCGTATCCTGAGCAAAAACGTCCCCACCCCATAGTTGTCATGTGGATTTGCATCCACAGAAACATTTGTAATGCGGGTCCCCATGAGAGGCATATGCATATCTAGTCGCGTTTTGGGATTTCTAATGCTGTAAGCAGGATGAGCAGACGGATTTGCGATGCGGCTGTCCTTACGAACCCGCCCTACCCTACGCACTGCAACTTGTCATGCGCGGCCCCCAAAACTTCTAGATTTGTGTTGGTAAGTTTCCAACTTGACCATGGGATGAGGACGGTTTTACGCAGGATATTCCGGAACTCTTCGTCGGCCTTGATGTCCACGTGTACGCAGTATATCAGATGTAAAAATGTCTGGGTCTGGAAGAATGCAACCTGTCATGCTAAATCTGAAGCATGCAAAAATCTGTGTTGCATGATTACCAAACGTCGTCCAGTTTTGACCAAGTCGGGAGGGAGTTTCTCATGCAGGATAGGCATGACAGAGATCGCGCAGAATCTGTCATGCTAGGTCCCGCACTCCAGACCTCATGGGTCATACAAAAGCTGCATGACAAGTCGCGCACTCTTCCAGACCCAGACACTTTTACATTTGATACAGTAGTAGTTCTGACGGTGCCAGATGGCGCGCAACAGCCTCTCGACCTGGCCAATGTGCTTGTGAACGAGCAGAATGTAAGCTAAGGTATGGCTTGCTCAAGCGTTACAATCTCAAACGTTACGATAGAATCTGGATTTTGTCTTGCATGAAGACAATGAGGAACGCACACAGGATTGAGCTTTTCGCAATACAAATCTCGCCGGGTTGTAGGTGGGTTTGGGGCTCCAAAACTTGTCATGCGCAATCCTTTGGAAGGAGGCTAGCTTATGCGCTCTTGGATCACAGATTTCCATATTCTATTGTAATGGTTGAGATTGCAACAGCTGAGCGGGTCATATAAGGGGAACTGCTTTTCTTCCTCGGAGAACGGGGAATCGAGATAGTAGTATCCTGAGAAAAAAGTGTTACAGTTACACACTCTGATGGCAGACAAGCAAGACAGACAAACTCTGTCATGCAGGAAACGCTTGCCAACCTCATTTCATTCGTGTTTTCCCCTATAGTCTGCGCATCACAGGTTTGATTTGCCATGTCGAGCAACTTTGTGATGCAGAAAATCCAACAAATGTGTAACGGTAACACTTTTTTCTCGCGATAAGTAGCCGCGGTTCTTGACCCAGTCGAAGCACTGCTGTTTGACAGTGTGGGTGGAGAGAGCACTCCCAGGATTGGAATTTGTGATGCTCGTGATGACATCGGTGAGAAAACTCAGGTCGAGAGGAGAGCTGTCAACATGTTCAGCAGGGGGTCGCATGGCAGAGGACATTGGTCTTGCGCCGGACGAAGATAACGACGAAACAGCTTTTTCCCTAGCTTGCCTCCGATAGCTTTCCAATTTGCTCGTGAAAGCCGTATTTTTCTCCAGCTGAGTGTGGGAGTCTCAGGAGTGAAATCGTCAGAGTTGAAATAACTTGCAATGCATAAAATCGATACCAGTTGGAAGCCCAATTTCCAAGCGGCACATGACAAATTTCGGCACCGTCTAAACCCAGTTTGTCATGCTGTTTAGGGATAGAAGGCGTCTTTTGTCATGCTACTTTAGCAGCTCTATCGCAGACCCCAAATAACAGGCGGACTGTCGGCCTCACTTGCCATCCCTGCAAGAGAGGCGCGTCATGTCTTGCAATTTATGCATGAGAAATCATTTCAACTTTGACGATTTCAATCCTGACACTTCCATACTGAGCAGTATGGGATAAAAAATTCGCCTCCGTGACTGGCACTTCCGTGAGCGGCCTGCAGATCTCCGTGTAGAAAGGATTTTTGTCGAATAGCGACGCTGTTGTACTAGCGGCAGCCGAAGATGATGGTTTCTTACCCGCTGGCTTCGACGCACCGATGAAATCTTCCTTCGCCTTTATCACCGCTTCGTTGTCGTGCGCCCCCGCGCGGAAAAGCTTGTGGAAGCGACTTCCGGAGGGGAGTGGCGCTTCGCGGTTGTCAGCATCTTCGGTGCTGAGCCGAGAAGTGAGAATGTGGAAACAAGAGATAATGGTGAAAATCAGGCAGAACCGCTTCCGGACAGGTCGGTGCTCGGCGGAGAAGAAGAGCGCTGTGACTGCGGAGGCGGATGCGGCACAGCGCGGCATGATCGTTCTTGCTGACGCGGCGCACTAGCTCGCGGTCGTGACCACCTCCAGGCTATACTTGCGACGAACGTGTCACCTTAGATATTTATAAGTGCCGTCGTGTCTGCCCCCTATCGAAGCAACCGCGTCGCCCGTACCACGCGCTTTCCGAACAGCCTCTCCCACCAGATAGTTGCACGTCTGGCTAGCCGCACGGATGATATGTCAGCTCCACTGGTGACGTCGCTTCTGCCGCCTTCACTGGCAAATAGCACCGTAGGGGTCGTGAGCCACTTGGTGTCAATCACCCAGCTCCCGTCGATGTGCGAGGGCTCTGATTTTTCGTTGTAGGTCAGAATCTTTCTCTTATTCTCCCGCTCCCACTTGCCAATCTGCTTTGCATTGAAAAAAAAGTCCTCAGGGTCTTTCACGCCGCCGCCACCACCACTGTACGCTCCAAATTCATCCATCAGGTGGAGTGCGAGCAAGGTTTCGCTGGCGTCAATCACTTTTACCGGTGGGAGATTTTTCGCGACGGACTTCTCTGTTCCAGCCGTCAAACCTGAGAAAGGCAGGTAGTTATCGTAGATCACCCGGCCGATGACAAGCTCACCGATGATCGGATCTTTTAGCAGCCAGTTTTGCACCGCAGATCTAGAAACGACGAAATAATCGCAGGCATCAGGGCGGAAAAGCTCGCCTTTCGTCTGAATCAGGTGGTGGAGTTCGTGACTTTTCTTGGACGAGGAACCTGATGCTGCAGCTGCGTCTGTAGTAGCTGACTGACCTTCCGCTATCACCGTGTAGTCCGCAAGTGGCAAATTGGTTCTCCTTCCTACAATCAGGAAGTTCTTGTTCCGCCCCTGGTCGACAGTGTTCGACGAACGCAGCTGCGCTTCCTCCAAATCCGCAACCGTCGCTACGGTTTGTAAAAACGAAGTGTCAGATATCCACAGTAAATTTCTCGCACACGTACAAAAACAAATGTGGTTTCTGCAAAAACAAACTCTTCTTCCAATCCTATTAAGCATGACAAGTTGCATGCTCCAACTTGGTAAAAATTGTCATGCATTTTGTACATGTACAGGAAATTTGTATTGCATATCAAAAAGAATGTCCGAGTTCGCGAAGGTGTAGGTGTCTGCGTTCGGCGCGATTTCCAGCGCTTTTTCGAAGATGGATTTTACGTAAATTGCGCCAAACTGGTTCTTCTTCGGGATGTAATCTTTCAGCTTGATATTATCTGCATCATCAGGAGCTGGTGGAGCATTCCCATATGTTTGGCCACGAACATCGTCCTCTAGAGTGACAACCTTGATTCGGTGGCGACCGCTGGTTCGCGCCGTAGCGTCCTCTAGAGCCTTTCTTCCGTCAGTGCAGATTTGCCGTATCTTCTTGTGCGCGTCACTCCGATTTGGCCTCGAATCCTTGACAACGATGAGGACGTGCAGTAGCTCGCTTTTCAACCGGGCTAGAAATGGTGGAGTAGTCGCGCTGCTTCCTCCACCCGGGAAACCGTAGTACCCGTAGCCGTGCTCAAGAACTACAGACTGCGATTTTTTACGCAAAACCAAACGCAAACAGTCAAAAAGAATGATGAAGGACGCGAAAAAACCGGTGCAGACTTTGGAGAGTCTGCGCATTTGATACAACGAGGACTTCTCCTAGCGGCCCATGCTTTTCTTTTCCAGACACTCGGACTCCTTCAACATGGTACTACATTCCGTCTCTCATGCAGATGCAGATTTCCGTGCCTGCTTTGAATTTGATGCGCACTGATCTGTCATCCACCGAATCCAACCCAGATCGGAAAATTAGCAAAGCAACTAGAGCCAAGATGATGGAACGCGGTGGGGGTAGTTGTCACGGAAGTCGGGACAGAAGGTTTGTATCAGTTGGGTGTGAAAGCTTGCCATGCGTATGGAACTTCCATGGGGTTGTCGTCTTTCAGGAGTTTCCGTGATTTTTTTCCGCGCTGCTGCATTTAGCGACACAATTCTGGCGGCCCCCCAGGCGTCGCGATGAGCCTACTTGGGGGGGGGGCTGGGGGGGTATGTAAAATTAGGCGCATGGCGCCGCATCAAGCAGGTGCGGAAACCTACCACAGAACTCCGACAAGGAGTTGCTTGTCAAGGAGTTGCTTGTCAAGGAGTTGCTTGCCAAGGAGTTGCTTGTCAAGGAGTTGCTTGTCAAGGAGTTGCTTGTCAAGGAGTTGCTTGTCAAGGAGTGCGACCCGAGTGCGACCCGAGTGCGACCCGAGTGCGACCCGAGTGCGACCCGAGTGCGACCCGAGTGCGACCCGAGTGCGACCCGAGTGCGACCCGAGTGCGACCCGAGTGCGACCCGAGTGCGACCCGAGTGCGACCCGAGTGCGACCCGAGTGCGACCCGAGTGCGACCCGAGTGCGACCCGAGTGCGACCCGAGTGCGACCCGAGTGCGACCCGAGTGCGACCCGAGTGCGACCCGAGTGCGACCCGAGTGCGACCCGAGTGCGACCCGAGTGCGACCCGAGTGCGACCCGAGTGCGACCCGAGTGCGACCCGAGTGCGACCCGAGTGCGACCCGAGTGCGACCCGAGTGCGACCCGAGTGCGACCCGAGTGCGACCCGAGTGCGACCCGAGTGCGACCCGAGTGCGACCCGAGTGCGACCCGAGTGCGACCCGAGTGCGACCCGAGTGCGACCCGAGTGCGACCCGAGTGCGACCCGAGTGCGACCCGAGTGCGACCCGAGTGCGACCCGAGTGCGACCCGAGTGCGACCCGAGTGCGACCCGAGTGCGACCCGAGTGCGACCCGAGTGCGACCCGAGTGCGACCCGAGTGCGACCCGAGTGCGACCCGAGTGCGACCCGAGTGCGACCCGAGTGCCACCCGAGTGCCACCCGAGTGCCACCCGAGTGCCACCCGAGTGCCACCCGAGTGCCACCCGAGTGCCACCAATGCAAAACTTGAAGAGTCTGCGCATTTGATACAGCGAGGACCTCTTCTAGCAGCTCATACTTTTCTTTTCCAGACACTCCGCGTTCAGCATGGTACTACCTGGGAAACAAGATGACAACCAAAGAAGACCCAGATCAGAACCTGGAAAGGAAAAACATTTATATGTCTCTGTAGCCTGGAGAGAAATAGCCGTCTCCCCGCCCACGGTAGTGGTTTCGTGGTTGCACCACACACCAAGGCAACGTACTGTAGTACGTATAAAAAGTTTGATGTGACAGGGCGCAGGGGCCTTGATAAAGTTCTCATTCTCAAAGAAATCGTATATAATTGCGGAAAAGTATTCTTGATGTCCGTCGCGATGCGAGTCTGTGGCCGGGTTCTGGCCCTGTATTCGTGTTATTTCCCGTCTTTAACCTCTCGTGGGGGTTGGTTTTGCGTGCTGAAAATAAAACCAGCTTCGTGTAGATCTTGCACAGTCCGTAGTTGTCTCTTTCTGACAACTGTATGGTTTCGATAAGATAATTCTGGTGGGTTCTGATTCTGAAAAGCTGTCTCGCTGTCGTTACAAGAACTTCAGCATACAGTTTTTGTTTTGCTTAATCTGATAAACCTGATATAAACACTTTCATTGCGCTGGTCGTGTAAATAAAGTTTCAGCCGGCAGTTGTCAGAGGTGGTGAGAAACAAGCCTCTCCTCCTGCTTACAACTTCAATACTGGTCTGGGTTGCGGCATGAGGTTAAGGGTAGACAAGGGTGATAGGTAGTGTACAACTGGATAGTCATTGGTATTTGATGCCGCCGATAATTATCCTCCTCTACGTTATCTACTTGATAGCTGCTGCGTTTCATGATGATGCTGATGAAGCAACATGCTATTATTCCTCAATGAAACAAAAACTTCTCTCCGCGCAGTGTGAGGAGCAACCACTACACGAGAAAGAAGCTTGTAGCGGATGCAAAAGCAACACGTTCATGATGCTCGTCGCGCAAAATCTGAGCGGCACAACTTCAATATAGCCGGATGTGGTAAGTACAAGCTGCAGTCGTCTCGCTCTTGTTCACCTCGTGTCGCTGTTATAGTTTCGGTCGTGAAGATCGTTTTGGTATGAGTTGAGAACGAAGGTGCTGCACCCGATCCTGAAGGACGATATCCTCTTGTTTCGGAAAACATGACTTAAGCAGCCGCCGCCAACTTTTCGATGAATTCCTTCAATTTCGGCTCCGACGCGCCCTCAAACTTGTCAAACTTCTGTCCGTCCTTGAAAAAGATGAAGGTTGGCATGCAGTTGATGTCGCACGCTTCCGCGGTGTCGCCGTTCTCATCGACGTCGACCTGGATATTTTTTGTTCAGGGATTTTTAGGCTTGCGTATAATGTGTTGTACGCATGACAAAATGAAAATCGTGGCATAGATATAGGCGGTTTTCGCATGACAAACTCACTACAGCGTCTTCATCTGCATCATGCACATAGAACAGTTATGCCTACCGTGCATGACAGAATCGACTACACGCGCTCGTGCGTTTTGTTTCCAGCAACACAAACTCAATTCCAGGTTGTATCAATACCTTGCAGAACGCCACGTTGGTGTATTGTTCCGCCATTTTGACGAAGACCGGGCCGATCATCTGGCACGGCCCGCACCAAGTTGCCGTGAAGTCCACAGCGACGAGTTTGTTGCCGGCGAGGAAGGAGTCGAACTCCTCTTTAGTCGCGAGCTGCTTCACCATTTTGAACAAAAACTGTTCTTCCGTTGCTGACACTACGCTAGTTTTGTCTTGCTGCTTGATGCAGAACGTTGATTTTTCCCACAGCTAATATCTTCAAGTTCGAAATTGTTTTTAATCACTTTTGATTTTGTCGAAAACGGAAACAGAGCTATGATCTGAACTTTGCTTTCACGAGGCCTGATGCTGGTTGCAGTGGATGTTGGGTTGGTACGTGGCGGGGGTTCTTGACACAAATGGTAGCTCAAACAAGCGGTGTGCACATTGAAAAAACAAAATGTAGTGACCACTTGGTCACGACGTCCCATATCTACACGAAATTCCTGAGGATCTTGTCTTGCATCGTTGTTGCCGATTGGCAATGGAGGCACCACCCAGTTGTAATTGTATTAGTGCTTTACAGCAACTCCATTGTCTTCTGCACATCAATTTGAGATTAAGTAGGGATCCTCTGCGCAGCTTGCTTTAACGGCCTATAATTACTGGTTTCATCTTGCAATTCGCACAACTCGAACACCATCTTATGCACCTTTTTCTAGGTCTCCAGCTAACTGACCATCCTTTTCATCCCTAGGTAGGGGCACTGTAGGAATCTAGGTGAGCGGCCGCTGGGTTTGTTCTCCATACCATGCAGAATTCCCCAGGTAGGCGCATTCTGCATGGTAGGGAGAACAAACCCAGCCAACCTATAGGCTCTCAGTGGCCTATCTATAGGCAAAACTTATTCAGCGTAGCACGCGGCGAAGAAAAATTGTTTTCCAACCAAGATTTTTCCTGGGGCCCTCGCAACTTTTTTAAATTCATCTTTGCCCGACCTGCATGCCGATGCCTTCGATACGAAGTTACCCTATCTATAGGCCCTCGGAGGCCTATAGGTGAACGGCTTTACCATCGTGATTGCGTTTTGTGTGAATTTGTTTCAGTTTTTTCTTTTTAAATCAAGCTTTGCGAAAAATTTCGAATCCTGCATGGCAAGGAGAACAAACCCAGCCAGCCTATAGGCTCTCAGAGGCCTATCTATAGGCAAAATTTATTCAGCGTAGCACGCGGCGAAGAAAAATTGTCTTGCGCGCAAGTTTTTTGCTGAGGCCCTCGCAACTTTTTCAATTTCATCTTTGCCCGACCTGCATGCTGATGCCCTCGATACGAAGTTGCCCTATCTATAGGCCTTCGGAGGCCTATAGGTGAACGGCGGTGAACGGCTATAACACCGTGATTGCGTTTTGCATGAACTCATTACAGTTTTTTCTTTTCAAGTCAAGCTTTGACAAAAATATCGAATCCTGCATGGCATGGAGAACAAACCCAGTCAACCTATAGGGTCTCAGAGGCCTATCTATAGGCAAAATTTATTCAGCGTAGCACGCGGCGAAGAAAAATTGCCTTCCATGCAAGTTTTTTGCGGAGGCCGTCGCAGCTTTTTCAATTTTATCTTTGCACGACCTGCATGCTGATGCCTTCGATACGAGGTTGCCCTATCTATAGGCCCTCGGAGGCCTATAGGTGAACGGCTATACCACCGTGGTTGCGTTTTGCGTGAACTCATTGCAGTTTTATTTTCCTTTCCAACTCAAGCTTTGAGAAACATAACGAATCCTGCATGGCATGGAGAAGAAACCCAGCCAACCTATAGGCTCTCAGAGGCCTATCTATAGGCAAAATCCATTCAGCGTAGCACGCGGCGAAGAAAAATCGCACTCCTTGCAACTTTTTTGCTGAGGCCCTCGCGACTTTTTCAATTTCTTCTTTGCCCGACCTGCATGCTGATGCCTTCGATACGAAGTTGCCCTATCTATAGACCCTCGGAGGCCTATAGGTGAACGGCTATACCGCCGTGATTGCGTTTTGCATGAACTCACATCAGTTTTTTCTTTCCAACTCAAGCTTTGAGAAAAATATCGAATCCTGCATGGAATGGAGAAGAAACCCAGCCAACCTATAGGCTCTCAGAGGCCTGTCTATAGGCAAAATTTATTCAGCATAGCACGCGGTGAAGAAAAATTGCCTTCCGCGCAAGTTTTTTGCTGAGGCCCTCGCAACTTTTTCAATTTCTTCTTTGCCCGACCTGCATGCTGATGCCTTCGATACGAAGTTGCCCTATCTATAGGCCCTCGGAGGCCTATAGGTGAACGGCTATACCGCCGCGATTGCGTTTTGCATGAACTCACTTCAGTTTTTTCTTTCCAAATCAAGCTTTGACCGAATCCTGCATGGCATGGAGAAGAAACCCAGCCAACCTATAATAGGCTTTCAGAGGCCTATCTGTAGGCAAAATTTATTCAGCGTAGCACGCGGCGAAGACAAATTGCCTTCCGCGCAAGTTTTTTGCTGAGGCCCTCGCAACTTTTTCAATTTCTGCTTTGCCCGACCTGCATGCTGATGCCTTCGATACGAAGTTGCCCTATCTATAGGCCCTCGGAGGCCTATAGGTGAACGGCAATACTATCGCGATCGCGTTTTGCGTGAATTCATTTAAGTTTTTGCTTTCAAAGTCAAGCTTTGATAAAACATATCGGATTCCGCATGGTATGGAGAACAAACCCACCCAACCTGTAGACTCTCAGAGGCCTATCTATAGGCAAAATTTATTCAGCATAACATGCGGCGACGAAAAATTCTCTTGCGCGCGAGTTTTTTTCTGAGGCCCTCACATTTTTTTTAACTTTATCTGCGCACGACCCGCATGCTGATGCCTTCGATATTAAGTTGCCCTATCTACAGGCTCTCGAACGCCTATAGGTGAAAGGCTGCACCCCCGTGGGAGCGCTAGCGTTTGCTTTAATTGCATTGCAGAATTCCAGTGGCGAGCTGAACGCAGTAAACAAGTTCAGTGCCGACAAGTGAATATGCATTCAAAATAAATACGCTCTGGCAATACAAAAAGTAATCATAGATAGCACCTTAGTGTGTGCGTTGTTAAGCATTCGCAAGCAGTGCCAGTGCCAATGCTGTCATACATTTTTAAGCTACCTGAAGTGATGTGAGTCCGAGTATTCGTGTGAAATTGTTGTGCAGAGATGTGTACATTTTTATCTTACGGCGTGCTCCGTACTGATTGATTGAGATTGTTCATCGTGCACGGACGATTCCTCGAAATTTTTCTGATTGATTGAGATTGTTCATCGTGCATGGACGATTCCTCGAAATTACTATTACTATCTATTATATTCATGCGAAAATATTGCTCTAGAGAGGGTAAACGAGAGGTGGCAGGGAGGTCAAAAAGAGGTCAAAAGAGGCACAAAAGAGGTCGACAGAGGTGGAGAGGTGGCGCGGGAGGTAATTCGAGAGGGTGGCCGAGAGGGGGCGCGAGTATAGCCCGCCGAACCGGTCGCCCTTTAGGGCCGCTAAGCGGCACGGAGGTGGCCGAGAGGTAAAAAAGAGGGCAAGCGAGAGGTGGACAGAGGTGCCGAGAGGTTGCGCGAATAAGGGGAGACCTCTCGCGCACCCTCTGGGCCACCTCTCGGCCACCTTTGTAGACCTCTACCGGCGAGTATAGCCGGATAATTAGCAAAACCTCTCAGAGGAGGTGAGAAAGAGGGTCTGCGAGAGGGGTAAAAAAACCCGAATCCACCCGGCACAGGCCTGATTTTTTTGCGGCCCTTTCATGCAAAAGCCCGAACCCTCTCGCGCCACCCTCTCGCGCACCCTCTCGCGCCACCCCTTCGCGCCAACACTTTTATTTCCCCGGGAAATCAGGTGGGCGGGCGCGGGGCGGTGATAAACAAAGAGCAGCGCCGGCCTCTGTCTGATTCTTTCGGCACGCACCTACGCCGGGGCGGCATCTCTTCGCCCCCAAAGTTTACTGCAGCTGCCCCCTGCGCATAGCGCCTAAAGGCGCGGAAAGCGCGCAGGAGGCCTTGCGGGTTGACCTCGCGCAAAATGGCGCCTGAAGTTTCCTCGGTCCGTCACGCTGTGCCCGATCCGCAAATAGTCAAACCCCAGCACAACAGCCTTGCGCTCCGGCGGTAGCCGGAGCATGGCTGGTTAATATATTTATATATGGAAGAAAACGGGGCTGGAGAGGTTCCGGTAGAGGTTGGGGAGAGGTTTCGTAGAGGTAAAATAGAGGTTGGGAGAGGTAAAGTAGAGGGTCGGCCAAAGTGAGAGGGTCGGGGAGAGGTAAAACGAGAGGTAACGGAGAGGGTCGGGAGAGGGTGAGCCGTATAGACGCCCTTAAAGCGCGGCTATACGCGCGCAGAGGTAGGGTAGAGGTTGGGGAGAGGTCAAGTAGAGGGTAGGGGAAGAGGGTGTAGAGGGTCGGAGAGGGTGCGTAGTATAGGGCGACCCTCTAGGCGACCCTCTACCGCGACCCTCTCCGGGAACCTCTATTTTACCTCTCGGCGGACCCTCTCGGCACCTCTCCGACCCTCTCCCGGACCCTCTCCGGGAACCTCTCCGACCCTCTCCTGGACCCTCTCTGAACCTCTCCCGAACCCTCTCCCCGACCCTCTCCCGGACCCTCTCGTGGACCACCTCCAGGAGCACAGCCTGCCCGCTGACTTGTCTGCGCGCGGCGCCCCCTCAAGAAGCTCGCTAGGGCGCAACGACCGGCGGGCATTGTTTTCAATTTCAGATCAGAGCGGCCGTTCAAAGTGCGTGCGCCGCTCTGCGTCCCCCAGAGGGGGCGCGGCGCCCCGCCTTAACCTGGTCGGCCACCTAGGGTGGCCGCAACTTCTTTCCCACAACGCCCGCGCGCGCTGGCAGCAGGTGCGTCGCCCTTGTGGCGTCTTGAACGTTGGCGCCCGGAAATAGTTTCCTGCGCGCATTTTCCCACGGCGCGCAGCTACTAAGGCCGGGCATGGTGCCCGCCCATGCCGAAACATGGGTCGGGCTCGGGCTTTTTTTTTTTGGTTGTGTAGCGGCGCGCAGCGATTCAATGCTGGCGCCACCTTTCCCACCGGAACACCTCCACCGAACAGCCCCCTCCCCGGCGGCCTCCGCCGGGGGGTGGCTGGTATTTATATATGGAAGAAAACGCGGCTGGAGAGGGTACAATAGAGGTTTGGTAGAGGTTCGGGAGAGGTAAAATAGAGGGTCGGAGAGGTAAAATAGAGGGTCGGACAAAATGAGAGGGTCGGGGAGAGGTAAAACGAGAGGTAAAGGAGAGGGTCGGGAGAGGGTGAGCCGTATATACGCCCTTAAAGCGGGGCTATACGCGCGCAGAGGTAGGGTAGAGGTTGGGGAGAGGTCAAATAGAGGGTAGGGGAAGAGGGTGTAGAGGGTCGGAGAGGGTGCATAGTATAGGGCGACCCTCTAGGCGACCCTCTACCGCGAACCTCTCAGGAAGCCTCTATTTTACCTCTCGCCGGACCCTCTCGGGACCTCTCCGACCCTCTCCCGGACCCTCTCCGGGACCCTCTCCGGGACCCTCTCCGACCCTCTCCCGGACCCTCTCTGAACCTCTCCCGGACCCTCTCCGGGACCCTCTCCCGGACCCTCTCGCGGACCACCTCCAGGAGCACAACCCGCCCACTTGTCTGCGCGCGGCGCCTCCCAAAGAAGCTCGCTAGGGCGGAGCGATCGGCTGGCAGTGTTTTCGCTTTCAGATCAGAGCGGCCGTTCAAAGTGCGTGCGCCGCTCTGCGTCCCCCAGAGGGGGCGCGGCGCCCCGCCTTAACCTGGTCGGCCACCTAGGGTGGCCGCAACTTCTTTCCCACAGCGCCCGCGCGCACTGGCAGCAGGTGCGTCGCCCTTGTGGCGTCTTGACCGTTGGCGCACGGAAATAGTTTCCGGCGCGCATCTTCCCACGGCGCGCAGCTACTAAGGCCGGGCAGGGTGCCCGCCCAAGCCGGAACATGGGCCGGGCTCTTTTTCTTTGGTTGTGAAGCGGCGCGCAGCGACTCAATGCTGGCGCCACCTTCCCCACCGGAACACCTCCACCGAGCAGCCCCCTCCCCGGCGGCCTTCGCCGGGGGGTGGCTGGTTATCATTATGTACAAAAATCTGCTGTCGTTTCATTAAATCTGGCACGTTTTCAATGGAGACTACGGGAAGATCTCGCGAAAGCAAAAGGCTAATAGTTTCTTACATCGTTAATTGTGCGCACGATTTCACTTCACTTTTTAGTATCGAGCAGCGATTTGCTGAAATTCGTCACCGTTATGCATTTGTAGGTCGCTTTTCATTTTCAAGCGTGGTAAAAGTGGCGTAGTAGTACGGCTTCCAAATCTCCCCGGGACGACAGCGTACCCGTAGTCGTGATCGAGCACTACGTATCAAAGTGCTGTAGTCTGCCCCGTCTACTCATCACAACCACGACGCCCAACCCACGTACATCTGCTGCAGGTTTCTCAGATCGCGTATGGATGTGTCAGAGTTGAAATCGACAAAGTTGAAATAATTTGCGATGCATAAAATGCAACCCGCAAAGCGCCTGTCTTGCAGAGTAGGCAAGGGAGGCATATTGCAAGCCTGTTGAGGGGTAGAAATAGAGCTGCTAAAGTAGCACGACAAAAGGCGTCTTCCTTACACAAACAGCATTACAAACTGGATTTAGGCACCGCCAAAACTTGTCATGCGCCACTTGAAAACTGTGCTCCAACTGGCATCCATTTTATGCATGGCAAACTATTTCAACTCTGACGATTTCAAACCTGACGCTTCCATATCGCGGGCCGCTTGGATAATCGCGTCAACCTGTCGGGGAATTTCCAACGGCACCCCCTTGTCCCGGCCGGCCTCACCCGGACTGTTCTTGCTCTTGTCGTCCGGCTCGGGCTCGCGGGGCGGGAAAACCTAGGTGAGCGACGTAGGGAGCATGAGCAAGTTGCTGCAAATTCAGATCATTATCATACCGGCATACTTATCTATTGGGCTGACGTGCCGCGTCGTGGCTTTGAAAAGTTCACTGCTTGCGGCCGCAGTCAGAAACAGACGAAGCGGCCGGGAAGTTAGAAATCTTCGGGGAGGGGCTGACCGTCCCCGGCGAGAAGCTGCAAGCCCATGGCGCAAAGCTGACCGCCCTCGGCGAGAGGATTCCAAACCGAAGGCGAGAAGTCGGAAACCAAGCGGGCGAGAAGTTGAAAGCACTTGGCGAGAAGTCGAAAGCACTTGGCGAGAAGTTGACCAACTCCGGCGAGAGGTCGAAAGCCCTCGGCGAAAAGCTGACCACCCCCGGCGAGAAGTCGAAGGCAATTGGCGAGAAGTCGGCAACCAAGCGGGCGAGAACGAAGTTGAAAGCACACGGCGAGAAGTCGCAAGCCCTTGGCGAGAAGTCGAAACCCCTTGGCGAGAAGTTGACCACCTCCGGCGAGAAGTCCAAAGCGCTCGGCGAGAAGTTGACCACCCTCGGCGAGGGGTCGAAAGCAATTGGCGAGAAGTCGGCAAGCAAGCGAGCGAGAAGGCGAAAGCACTTGGCGAGAAGTCGAAAGCCCTTGGCGAGAAGTCGAAACCCCTCGGCGAGAAGTTGACCACCTCCGGCGAGAAATCGAAAGCCCTCGGCGAGAAGTTGACCACCCCCGCCCGGCGAGAAGTCGAAAGCCGTTGGCGAGAAGTCGGCAACCAAGCGGGCGAGAATTTGAAAGGACTTGGCGAGAAGTCGAAAGCCCTTGGCGAGAAGTCGAAAGCCCTTGGCGAGAATGAAGTCGAAGGCCGTTGGCGAGAAGTCGGAAACCAAGCAAGCGAGAAGTTGCAAGCACTTGGCGAGAAGTCGGAAGCCCTTGGCGAGAAGTCGAAAGCCCTTGGCGAGATGAAGTGGACCACCTCCGGCGAGAAGTCGAAAGCCCTCGGCGAGAAGGCAGAAATCGAGCGGGCAAGAAGTTGACAAACCCTACTATAGAAACCATACGGCCCCAACAATCTCAGCCCATACAGTCTAGCTGTGCAGTTTCTTCCGCGAGCGCGCCGGCTCTTCTAAGTTGCGCGCAACTACTTCTTCTCTGGAGCAAAGCACGCGACGAGCAACTATGCCTCACACCAAGGGAGGTGGTGCCCGAGCTGGTTGGGAATTGCCCTCCGCTGGTTGCGGTTGCCCTGGCTGGGCAATTGCCCTCCGCGGACGCAGCTTGTCTTCATGGAAAGCTTTTGTAGATAGCCCCGGAGCCCAATTCCCGCAGCCACTTGCGGACATTCTCTGTGGCAGAAGCGATAACGAAGACGGACAATTACTCTCAGGCCACGAATCGCGAGTATCCCTCTGAGACGTTTTTTGGCGCGCCGAGGCGCTTTTCGGCGCGCCGCTGCCCAAAAGGCGCCAAGTCTGGCGCTTTTTGGCGCGCGGCGCGCCGAAAAGCGCCGCAGAGGGAATCTTGCGACCCGCGGCCCTGAGAAAAGGTCGGAGAGAATTGCGGCTTCACTGCAGTTTCTGTCGCAGAGAATTCCGAAGGCGGCCCCAGAGAATGGGGCCCGGGGCTTCTCCGAAAGCCATCGCGCAGAAACAAGGGTGGGCAATTCAGAGAGCGAGGGCAAGCGCGACTGCGCACCGCTGCGCGCGGTTCGGAAAGTCTTAGAACGCTTTCCCGGCCCTTTGCTCTTCTGTTTTTTCGCTAATTGCTTCTGGGAGTGCCCGAACTATACTGCCACAGGCTGGGCATTTTCCAGAGTGGAAAGGGTTGAGATTGCCACTCGCGGCACGGTCTTTTTCCAATCCAGGAAGGTTTTTTTTGGCTCGAGAAATTTCCACAGAGGACCGTGAGCGACGTGCGAAACAAAAATGAGCGACTTTGGAGCTCTGCACCCCCCGACAATACGTGCCTTCTTACGCGACGAGCAACTATGCCTCACACCAAGGGACGAGGTGTTGCCCAAGCGCCCCACTAAAGTACCTCCTTCAAAAAATCGAAAAACAATGCAAGAACCCTGTACAACTTATAGATACCTTCGCCATGACAGAATCCTTTGCGCTGTTGTCTCTTTTCGTCTCCTTGTCCGTCCGCCAGGTATCGTACGTGACGTGGCCGTTCATATCAACTGTAAAAGTGTCTGGGTCTGGAAGAATCCAACTTGTCATGCTGATTTTGGATTCTAAAAAAATCTGTATTGCATGAGCAGCAAAGAGAGTCCAAGTCTTGCTACACGGAAAGAGCATTTTTGATGCGGTATAGGCATCAGGAAGCCCTCACGAAATTTGTGATGCTAGGGCATGCATCACAGACATCAGGAGTGATGCAAAATGTGCATGACAAACCCGGCAATCTTCCAGACCCAGACGTTTTTACATTTGATAGTTCATCTTGTTGATCAACTCCTGCACGGTCCGCTCGGGCGCGAAGCCCTTGTATAACAGTGCACAGCTCCCCCGTGGTCACCGCCTCGTTTGTCATGCAAAATCCCAAATCCATCTTTTCTATTAGTTACTCTTTGGCACTTCTTGCATGACAGGTTCCGGAAGCCGAAACAGCACTAGAATTATCGGTCGCGAAGTTGTCATGCAAAAGCTGCACCCATGCCAGCACTTGTGCTGCTGCTCATGCGTTTTAAATAAAAAATGCGGGCCGAGGGGGGGGGGGTGTGCACCCATCTCATACCTTGTTTTTCCAATCCACAAAAGGGTCCGCGACGAAAGAGCCCAAAACCGCGGACAGCGTATCACGATTATTCTGGATCACCTTCATGAAGACCTCGCAGCTGTGCCGGTAAAGTCCCTCCACGCCCGTTACGCCGAGCGGCGTGACGCAGTTCGCGGTCAACCGGAAGGGCACAACCTCCGGCTTCGCGAGGTGCAATCCCCGCCCGAATAAGCAGTCGAAGTCGACATGCACGATAGAGCCGGAGACTTTGTCGATCAGAATGTTTTCCCCGTGCCGATCTCCCAGTCCAAGGATGTACCCGAGCATAGACCACACCGCCAGAGATTTCGCATAGGTATTCCTCCGCGCCAGCCAGTCGCTGGGGTCCGCGCTTGTCCGCTGGTACCAGAGGTGCAACACCGGCGGGTGTCGCGGGACCAGTTTTGTCAGGTAATCCATGTTATGGATTGCAAAAGTGTCTGGGTCTAGAAGATTCTGAGATCATTTGTCATGCAGTTTCTTCAAGCTCCCCCACGTCTGGAATGCAGGGCCTAGCATCACAGGTTCTGGAGCTCCTTGGTGATGCGTACTCTGCATGAGAAATGCCCTCTCAGCATGACCAGAAGTGGGCACCTTTTGCACGTTCTGCACCACAGATCTTTTTAGGATCCGAACCACGCATCACAAGTTCGGATCCTTCCAGACAACCAGGGATATTTGCATTTGATACATGTAGGTCTCCGCCAGTTTGTGCTCCGCGGTCCACTCCATCGCGGCGGGGTATCTCTTGTGCAGGCGTTCAAGATTCTGTTTTATGCAATGCAAGTACTTATGTCTGGTTCTGGAAACTTGTAATGCTGGGTTGGGAATAGTGAAAGCTCTGTAATGCTGCACAGGCAAACATGAGAAATATCTGCGCTAATTGGTGTTGCACTTTCCGCATGACAAACTGCATTATTGCATGACAAGTAAAAGGATCTCTTCCTGGACAAGCATCACAAACTCTTCAGTCATGGCAGACAAGCATGACAAACCTTCTATTCATCCAGACCCAGACCACATGTTTGCAGTGCATATGTTCTTGCTCGATGCAATTTCGCATGGGGACGGTGTTCTGCACCCACTCTAGCAAGCCGTGGTTCTCGGTTAGGGTGTATACATTGCAAATGTGTCTGGGTTTGGAAAACTGCTAGTTTGTCATGCGCGTCCCGCATGACTCTTAACTCTGTGATGCATGCGCCGGAAAAGAGCCTTTTTCCTGTCATGCAGAAGCGCAGTTTGCCATGCGGAACTCGCAACACATAGCAGCTCCAAAACTTGTAGTGCTTGGCTGCGCATTGCAGTGTGCCCATCACTGGCAGATTTGCATACACAAATTTCCAGGCCCAGATGACATGTTTGCAAGTGATAGGGTGGTGACCGTGTAGTGGCGGATCTCGAGTATCCTGAGTGAAAACGTCCCCATACCAGAGTTGTCATGCAATTCTGCATGCTAAAAAAGTCTCTCATGCGGAGCCCTACGAGAAGCCTTTTCTGTTAGTGTTTTGGAATTTGTTACGCTAGAATCAGCATGCTAGGCTAGGTCTGTGTTGCTGCTGAACTAGCGAATAACCGGATTACACTACGAGGACAAACTTATCATGCAAAACGACCAAAGCTGGTTGACTTGTCTAGCAGATTTCCCATCTTAACTCTGGTGTGGGGACGTTTTTAATCAGGATATCGAGTTTCCTTTGCATAGACTCGCCGTTGCGCCGTAAAAGCTTGTTGAGCAAGTTGCACAATTCCATGACCCTTTTGTCTTTCTTCAAGTCGCCCCGCTGCTCCATTTTCCCCAGAAAGGGGTACAGATTCCCATCCGACCCCTTGATAGTGACCTTCTTTGGCTTTACCTTGCTGTTCATGACATTCACTCGGTCGATGCACCGGTCAATAAACACTTCCGAGCAGGAGCTCGTGCCGGAATTGCTCGGGTTCTGCGTGTTCATCTGACCCATTTGCTCGTTGATCTGCAGCATCACCTGCGATTGATCGTACCCCGCCTGAATGCTGGACTCCGCAGCGGAGCTTTGCCCCCCGACCGTTTGTCCCGACACGACATGGGAATCGGGAAGCACGTATGTATTGCAAATATCCCTGGATGTCTGGAAGTAGAGCGCAAACTTCTGAGGCGCACTTCAAATGACGCAAATTTCTGTCATGCATGGACAGCAACAGTCTCCCACTTCTTATCACCGACGGCAGAAATTTATCATGCGGATTAGGCATTAAGAAGCCTCCGCGAAACCTCTGATGCTAGGGCTGGCATGCCATACCTGCTTAGTTAGGAAAAAACAGCATGACAAACATCAGCACTCATCCAGACCCAGACATGTAATTCGCATTTGATAGCACCGCGAAGCACTTCGTTGCGGGCACTAACACCGCGCACCGGTACAAGGGAACCTGTCGCTGCTCATTGCCTTCCAAGATCTTCACGACACTCGGGTTACCGAGAAATTTCAGGTACGTAGTGTGGTGCTGGTGCAGAGACAGGCATCAAAAGGAAAAAACTCCCTCCCCATATCGAAACGAAATTTCTGATGCTGGAATTGCGTACACAAATCAGCCTTGTCTTGCCGTGGATGACTGCAGGCCCATATCAAGCCTGTGCGAAGAGGTTTTGGCCTAGGCGCTCAGCATGAAAAAGGTCTATGCTTTAGGCCCATCAGCATCACAAACCGCCGGAATAATGCGGAGGGCCTAATTGGGTTTGCTTTTTTGCAAGGCAGACGCGGTTTGTGACCACAAATCACCATCGCAAATTTCCAAAAATATACCTTTTCAATATGGGGAGGGAGGATTTTCGCTTGTGATAAAAGTATGGTTCGGTTTTCGGGTACGTCCGTGATAAGTTTCAAAAAGGCTTGCTGCCAGTAGCAATGCGTCGCACGGTATGCATTGCAAATATGTCTGGGTCTGGAGCGCTGCAACTTGTCATGCTAATTCTGGATAGTGCAAAAATCTGTGTTGCGTGATTACCAAAAGCTGTCCACGTTTGACCAAGTTGAAAGGCTGTTTGTCATGCAGGCGAGGCATGATAGAGGTCGCGCAGAATCTGTCATGCCAGAGCACGTATGACAGACTTCATGCGTCATGGAAAAACTGCATTGCATAGCGTTGCATCCTTCCAGACCCGACATATTTGCAGTTGATACACGGTAGAAATGCCGGGCTTCTCTCGTCTGGAGGTAGTACGCGAGCACGCTGTTGGACCGCACTTGATTATACTGTCCGGCGGGAATCGCGCCCGAGGGTGGATATGGGGTGCTCAGACGTTACATTCTCAACTGTTGCATGAATTTGTCATGCAAAAGCACCATCATCATCCTCACGATCAAGCTGCTCCGCATGACAAATTTTCGAAGGGCTAAGCCGCGCCTAAATCTGCGCCAAACTTATAATATATATAATGCAAAAGGCGCAATCTTCCTCCTTTCACTTTTGCGTTACTAATTCATGTAACAGTTGAGAATGTAACATTTGAGAACTCCATAGTGGAAAGCCTCTATTTTTGCTTTCCTTATTGTTCCCCGCAGCTCCTCCACTTGTGTTACCTCCGTGATGGTGATGCTGATTATTTTGATTGTTTTCACCAACTCCCGGTGGGGAGCTCCCGACCAAGCCCGTGCCCTGCAGGCTGCTGTAGGTGATTTTCCCGAGGCAAAGCTGCTCCATGCTTTTCAGCTCCTCGGCACTGATGCCTTGGTAATCCCTTAGGAACTATCAAATGCAAAAATGTCTGGGTCTGGAAGAATCCAACTTGTCATGCTGTTTTGGATTCTAAAAAAATCTGTATTGCATGAGCAGCAAAGAGAGTCCAAGTTTTGCTATACGGAAAGAGCATTTGTCATGGGGTATAGGCATCAGGAAGCCCTCACAAAATCTGTGATGCTAGGGCATGCATCACAGACATCAGGAGTCATGCAAAATGTGCATGACAAACCTGGCA